TGAAATTGTAACCATGCCATGAAGTCTAAATTTTGTCTGGCTTTGTCTAAAATAAATCAAAATGGCTTTTACTCGTAGAAAAAATTATTTAAATTAAAAATAATACCTCGAAGCTCATACAAATTAATTGATATGGTCGAAATTTATTAAGACATCTTTTTTCTTAAATATTGCCTCAATACAAAACTTTTTAAAAACAGACCTCATACAAACCCTTAAATTAAATGCCTGGAGACATTAGTTATTGTTGTTGTTTACAATTACTTGACCTAACTTTATCTGTCCGTGGCCTAAAGAAAAAAAAACGAATTTTAGCATTAAAATCAATTTAATGTTTATTTTTGTTAATAAACACAATGTTTGTCCTCTAATAGTGAAATAAATTACATAATATTATAGTTCCATTTTTGTTGTTAATTTCTTATTGAACTGCGTAGTATTTATTTACAATAATTCGATTACTATATCAATTTAAACGACAGATAAAATATACGATTTTCAAGTAGAATAATATTAATTATTTTTCTTATAACTAGGTATCTAAAGCTTTTTCAATTAGTCTTATGGTTTCCCCTGATGGTGATATTATTAATAATAATAATAGAGATTACTAATGACTTGAGTCAATGACGATTATAATATGTGTGTACATTACACTATATTAGCTTCAGTCCTCTCACTCTTTTAGCCCCTCCTTTCAAGAATACCTTTGTAACTCAGGCAGTTATAAAAGGACATAATTTCCACCAAGAACACTATTAGTCTGCTTACACACATTTCAATCGTCCAACGTCGTGGTGTCGAATCACTGAAATTCATTGGTCAACATGTATACAGAGAACTTCGTCTAAAACCATAAATTTGTAAGTAAATTTTGATTTTTCTATTATATCTATGTACAGGTATACCTAATAAAAGGTGTTGGTTTGCATTTTTCTTATTATCATATCATAATATTTAACAATTAAAAGTTATTTTGTGTAGAGAGTATGAAACAAATAAATATAGTGTCTGTCAGACATTGTTCTAATTATAATATTATACTTAATAACTTAAAAATGAACTCAAATTTTAATAAGAATCAACGTTTTTTATTTTTTTTTGTAAAATATATTATTAATATAAAAATAATTGCTGTTTAACTCATTAAATAATTTATTAGAAATATGTACGTTAATTTCGGATATAATTTTAAAATTATAGAAATATTAGTGAAAAACTACAGCTTAATCGATAAATGTTTTGAAACATATATTATATAGTTTATTAATGAATGTATTAAATAACGTAACCTAATCAAATTTCTTATTACCTAGCTACATTTATTTATATTTAATAGATGCAGCTATACCAGACAGCAAAAAAAAGTTGATTAATCTATTTTATAAATTTTGTTACATTTTACAATATATTTTATTAATATCGTATAAATATTTCAAAATAATATTTTGATATAAAACTAAAATATTATGTTTTTAAAGTTATAATCTCATATTTCATAAACATTATAAAATTATATAAATACAATAAACGAATTCTATTGGAGTTATTTTGTGTGCATAACCCATAACCAAATCTAATTTGTGCATTTATTATTGTTCAGTATAGATATTTCAAGTCTTTAATTTTTCAAAATATAAATGATCTTTTACCTAGTTGTAGTATATTATGTTTCGGACCTTTTGTTCACTCAGTAGAGTCGGTAAATTATTGTAATTCCCTTTAGTGCAATACAAAATGTATATTTAAGACTAACTGAGGACAAAATAATTTAAGACAAATAATTGCGGTAAATACAAACATTTTTTCAGGCAGACAACATTATTTAAATACAATTTATAAAGTAGAATGGTATAGAAATTTTTCCATTTATTATTACAAAATACAATGCATTTTTTTTTACTAAAACACATATAATATATAGAGTTTAAATAAACAATACAACAGTAAAAATTACATTTTAAAATTATATTCACTTAAGGTACTCGGACCTAGAAATTATTTCAACAAAAACTTAAATACAAAATAATTTATAGTTTAAAACAGTAAATAAAAATGTATTTCAAATATTTATTTATAAAAATAACGTTTGCTATGAAGAATTGAATTTAAATGACTAATTATTATTTTGAAAATTATTTTGTTATTTATAATTAAAAAAAAAAAAAAAGACCAGGTTTATTCATCACAATAGTTTTAAATGAGCATTTTACTTACATATTTTTATGTTATTTACTTCAAAAATAAATTTTCCTAGTAAATGTTTTTTTCCCTCAAAGTTTAATATTCATTTAGCTTGTTTTACTTATTATTGTATATTGTTCTGTTTTCAGCAAAAATGGCTTCCGCCAAGGTAGCACTTCTTCTTTTCGTGGCACTGATATCTTCATCGGTCGTCCAAGCTGGCCCAATCGCAGCAGGGATCTGCTATGCAGGGTGTGCTTCAGTCACTGTAGCATGCTTCGCTGCAGCCGGATTCACTTTTGGGACAGTACCCGGAGCCGTAATAGCGGCTACACCAGCATTAGCCGCTTGCAACACCGCTTTTGGTGTATGCGAAGCTGCTTGTGTGGCAGCATTAATTTGGCCAACTCCATAAAATGGGCCCACATTCAATTTATAAATCATACATTATTATGCACTTATACTTTCCATTTAATACAATCTAAATTCTAATAATGATTTTTTTTTTTAAACAATTTTTGTGATAATTATAAATAAACACAAGAAAACCTAATGTTTGACTAATATGACTATTATTATTATTATTATTATTATTATTATTATGTGTACCTAATCATATATGTGTCGTTAATTAAAATTGTTTTATTATAATCTCAATGGATGTACCTAAATATGACAATTTGCCGCAGCTACTTATATTGTAATGGTATGAAATTCGTTCAAATATTTTAATAATAAACACTTGTTAAAAATGATAAAGACGTTTGGTTTATGTTTAGTGTCCTCTTCATTTGCTATACAGTACTATCGAAAACTCAAGGTGTTTCATTAAATTAATACATAGTTTAAATACCTATTAACATGAGTTACATTTAGTTTAACTGGTAATATTTTTGTTCTAAATATTATATAGGTATGAGCTTTAAAAAACCTATCGGTTGTTGTTTGTCGTTGAAAAAGATAGGTAATACGAATAAATATGTGACTCTGGAGTCTAGAGTCTTTACTCAATGAGTATTATTAGATAATAATTTAAAAAAAAGTAATATAATGTGTAATGGCATAGTATGAAATCCTATTCTAAACGATGAAAAAAAATATTCATAACAAATAAAATATTTATACACAGGTTTAGGCTACTTTTTGTTTGCCAATAGAGAATTCTTATTAATGTGCTAATATATTTATAAATATATAACTTTAGTTTAAAGCTAAGATTTTGTAATGAAAAAAGCCTATACCGAATTTTTTTAAATAAACATTTGTGGTAAAAAACAAAACGACACTAAAATTGCTAATTTAAAATTTAGACATTTATTAAAAATTATAATACAATAAACATAAAATCGATACAAATTTATTTATATTAAGAGAAACAAAAAAGGGTTTAGTATTAAGGGATAAATTACAGATAATATTTGATAAAACTTCTCTAGGAGCCATTTCTTAATATGACAACTAATTTATGGGTAAATAAATAAAAGGTTTACTAATTTAAAAATTCTTTTTTTTAGAGTTATGGTGAAAGTGCAGACATTTTGGCGTATCTATAATTTTCAAGAAAAACCTTTACTCTCCATAGAGATGTTAAACTTTATAAAAAAAAAATATATATTGGAGTGTGACAGCGTTATAGTTTTTATTTGTATACAATTAAGCTCTTTTTGTTTCCCTTTGTTTAGATATCATACGTAAATTACAAGATTATTATAATATAAATTCATAGTCGGAGATTGGGGGGTGCTTGGGGGGGGGGCTTAGCACCCCCAAAATAATCAATAGCCCCCCAATTATTTGATCACTCATCAAAGTAATAAATTCCTTAATTAATGGAGTAAAAACTAAAATTATTAATAAGAATAAATTATGAAAATTATTTCAGTTCCAAAACGGCAAAACATTATAACAATGTTTTTGATAATGTTATCATTTAACTTTAATTCAAGTGCTAAATAAAGTTATACATTTTTCAAAAAACGCAATAAATATTGATAAAATTCAAAAGGCTCCAACCCTAAATGTATTTCCCAGCTTATTCAAATTATTTCAAGTCGCCTTGTCTTTGCCAATTAGTTCAGCTACATGCGAACACAGCTTTTCAGCTATGCGCAAAATTAAGACATGGTTACCTGACATGGTTGCAAGACAGGTTTAATAATTCATCCATATTATACATTGAAAACTATTTAAATATTGATGTAGAAAAAATTATTGATATATTTGGATCTAAGAATAGGTACATTGCCTTAAAATAATATGTATTTATTTAAATAATATACAAATATTATATTATATTTATTATGATTTTTATTTATACATTTGTAATGTTATATAGTATTATATATTAATAATTTAGGAGTGTAAATCCCTTGCTGGTCATTTTAGGTAGAAAAATGCTAGCCCCCCCAAAAAATTAATGAAATCTCCGCCTATGAATATAATATCTGTATTCTTTAGAGCAAAAATACCTATTGTGAAATCGAAAGATGATATTTTGTTGAGAATGTCGTATTCGTTTTTCGATAATAGATCCAAGTATTTGGCTTGATATTTTATGTTGGAAAAAAAAACATAATAATATTTTACTTTTTTTTTTTTTATAAAAAAACCTTTTTTCTAGGAAATATTTAAAAAAAAAAAGAACAAGTAATTTTATTCAAACTATATCTCAAAGTGGATAAAAATTTCAAAACCAGGGAACAAATTATAACCGCAGTATATCCAGTGATACAACGTGCACCATTTATACACTATCTCACCAATATTTATGTTTATATTTTGTTATCTAATTTGATCAATAGCTGATAACCTTGTGATAAAACTTAGTAATCTAATTGTATTAATAATACATTGTAATATACCACTTTTAAGTCGTTGAAAACCGTACGACTTCAGTTTCAATTTGCAATATTATAGTTTTTTTTTAAATCTAACATGACTGATCAGAATAATGATCAGCTTGGCGTTTTGTTTGTGTGCTTGGGAAATATATGCCGTTCCACAATGGCTGAAGCTGTATTCAAAGATATAGCTCATGAAAAAGGCTTTCACAACAGGTGGTTTGTTGATAGTGCTGGAACTTCAAGTTATAATATAGGTTGTCCGCCAGATGAACGAACCTTGACGGTACTCGGGAAGTTCAAGATTAACAATTACCGACATGTCGCCCGACAGGTAAAGCCAGAGGATTTTCAAAAATACGACTTCATACTTGGTATGGATAAAGAAAATATCAAAAAATTAAATTCAATGAAGCCTAAAAATTGTAAAGCAAAAGTCGAACTGTTTGGGTCCTATGATCCGGAAGGAGGTGATATCATTGAAGATCCATACTATGAACGCGGTATGGATGCATTTATAAATGTGTATAAACAATGTCGGAGAGCGAGTATTGCGTTTATAAATAAATACACAGTTGTTTAATCATGTGTTGATTTTTGGACATATAACCAATAAAACACAAATAAATATATAATAAATTGTTTATACATGTAATAAAAAAAATAATAATAATAGTAATAAATAATTGAAATTTGCTTACAGTTTTTATGTTAGTAAATATTAATCATAGCACTCATGTCGAACACTTTTACTTACTCAAACTTTTACTTATTTCTGGAATTAAAAGTGACTTAATGAAGCTATTACCATTCGTAATATTAGTTGTAGCAATTACATATTCTGTAGTGCCTGTAATTTGAAAAAAATTGTCATTTCGAGTAAAATAATTAACATATTATATAATATGTTAATTTTGACTATATATTTTTTGATTACTAACATTCTTCAAGTGTTGATAAGAAACGAAGAGCAGATATTTCCGCAAAAGTACAACCCCCAATGAAGAATACTAAAACAACTTTTTGTGAGTCTACCAAAAAACTCATACTGGATGCTGAAAGAGTTAAGATAAATTAGTTAAGAATCTATTAAACAATGTACCTACAAATTAAAAAATTACTTTGGTCAATAGCCGAGTTAACATGCTCAACATTAGGTCCAGGTAATATCGGCAACACGTCAGACAGTACTTTACTATCGGATTTTGATATATGCTGAATTAATCTCACACTAAGCGGGGCGTAAATACCGTAAACATAATTAATATCATCTGGATCGACTTCGCTCATTTCATAAACATCTAATTTCAATAATCTGCGACATAGAGCGTAGCTCCTCGAACTAGACTAAAAAATCAAAATAATATTTAAAAAATTGTACTCGTCTATAACTGCATACATTTTACTTGTATTTTTATAAGGCCTGACGTTTCTAAATTGGCCATTGTCACCAAGTGCTCAAATCCGTATGTCTGAATTATTTCTTTCTTATAATAATCCAAGACTTTTTGTTTCAATCCAGAATTGACAGAGGACTGCATACATATTAAACGTAGTACCTGTTTGAACATACAAAGTTATTAACACATACAATTTAAAAAAGCCATTTAGTGGGGTCAGGCGTAGTGGTGATGGGGCGAGGAAGTACGCTTGAATTATAACTGAAAGTAATAAAATCACTTTCAAATAAATACTGTGATGCCAATCTGTGAAATACAAATATTGATAAGAGTATTTTAATGACAAAAATGAGCTTAAAATTGAATTTTTAGAAGTAGGGTAGATACGATTAGGGTTGTTTGTCTGTCAATAATGATTTGTTGCCGTTGTTACCTACATATCGTAATCAAAAATATTTTTCAGATACCTCTTGACTCACGTATTTACACACACACAGCAACATAGAAATTGACTACAGTCAAATTGTAATAAAACGTTTGTCTACAGATTTTTGAGAAAATGATACATGTCATGGCCCCATTCTAGATCTTCCTTCAGCTTAATTTTCAGGCCAGAAGTCCTAAATGTTTGCTGGAAAAAGAGAAATAAAGAAAAAGTTTCTACCCATTCTACACAAAAGGGGTGTTGTTTTTTTAATGTTTATCTATAGTACATCATCAGAAGAATATTCCATACAAACTTGGAATTAATTAGGACTATTTTCAAAGAAGTTATAGTGCGCCGTAATTTTAAAATGAAAAAATAAATAAAATTGTTGGGTTTTTTTTTTTGATTTTGAACAAAAAGAGGTTCTTTTCAAATTTTTGGCAAAATTAAGTACCATTCAAGTATTTGTTACATGAAGAAATCGATTCAGAGGTTTAGAAGTTAATCCAGTCACAAAAAATCAAAACACATTGTAAAAACAATACCTTCTCAGTTCCGTGTCAAATTACACCACACATACTTACAGAAATAATATTATGCTTATTAGCAATTAAATCTTCTATCTGAGGTAGTATTTTATCAGAATCTATTCCTAAAATTAACTCTTGTTGTAAATTTATAAATTCACGAAAATTTTTTTTATCTGTTAATTCTTTAATTAATCCAGCTATGGTAGTATCTATTTAAAAAACATAAAACAACAGAATAAATATCAATTTAAATATAGCAATGATTAAATACTATAAAAACAAAACTGATTACATGTGGAAAGTTGTTTTTTAAGCGTCAGCATGTACGGAAGCTTTGACACTAATTGTTTCATTTCTTGAACAGTTTTACCATTACGTGTTTCGTCATACTCCGATGTTATATGTTTGGCTCTTTTGCTTAAATTCATTAAAACTGCATTAAAATGTTTATTCCTGCAGATATAAACAATTTAGTATTTATCATATGATGTTGCATACATACGTTTACCGAGTTTCAGCAAATATTTCGTCACTAGAATTTAGAACAATTTTTTTATGCGATAGCACATTTGAATTTCCTTCTTCGGAAACAAACTTGTCAGCAGGCAACTCGACAGTACCTTCAAAGTAAATATAACAATTAATGCAAAAATAAACCATATTGTGTACTGTTTAATTAGGATTTCTTACAACAGTCTATTCCGTAAAGTTCATCAATAAGGCCCTCAAATGTCAATTGAGTTGCCATAGGTGTCAACAAGTCTACGGATCGATCCAATATTATAAGATGATCAATAGTCTTATAATTTCGGGTGGCTTTAGAATTTGGTGCACGAGGCTCCAACGATATTTTAGACACCAAGTCCCACACTTGTTTGACAGTGGGGCCTTTGCCAGATATACGACCTATTCGACCGTAAATATCCTCCAACATTACGATAGCTTGGGCTACACGATATAAACACGTAGGATCTTTTTCTAACGATAATTCCTTTATATAATACGACAAAATGTAAATTTTCAGTTAATTAATTTATGGAGAAAAAAGTTAAATTTTAAATGTTTTTTGCACCTTATAGCAGTCGTTCATTTCCATAGACATAAGATCATTTTCTAAGGGAAATAGAAAGCATCGAAATTCCTCAATCAACACAAAATTTCCAAATACACCTTTTCTCTTGAAAAATAAAATAAAAGGAAGAATTAAATGTTGATAAAAATACAATTAATTATGTACTTATTAGGTATAAGTGGCATGGTGGTTTTTATGACATTTTGGTGTTATGATAACCAATTTTCAGGTAGAAAAAGCAAAAAATGTGCCACAAAAAATTGACTTCATACAAGGATGGATACTAATGTATCATTGTCTATAATTGTTCACTATGCCACCACTGATCTATAATTCTACAATTATATATATTTTAATTGTTACACAATATGAGATAAAACAAATTATAAACTCACTTCTAAACGTTTTTCACATAATAAACTTCGAGTAGGAACAAAAAACAGATGATATTCTCTATGTTTCAAGTCTTCTTGATTTTCTCTAAGATAAAATAGACATTAAGTACTGTTTTATTAAACATACTCTCTAAATTAATATAGTTAAAAACAAAGACCACTTCTCAATAAATAGCATGTGCAAGCTTTACTTAAAGAGAGTACCTAACTATTAGTAAAGAGAAACCACCTCAGAAAATATTGAAATATCCAAAATTAATATTATAAACTAATTTATCATTTATTATATAATAGTAATAATCATTGATCAATGATTTAAACATAATATTCGAAACATCATTGATTTGGATTTAATTTAATTTAATTGATCAATGATTTGAACATAATATTCGAAACATCATTGATTTGGATTTAATTTCTTTAAGATTAAAGTGTAATTATTATTTATTTTACTTATAGCCTTACAAGTATTTCATTCACTGTTAATGATTTTAAAAAAGACTCTAGTTTCTATCATTTGTTGTCAAGATGAAATGTAAACGTGGCTTATGGTTATAACTAATATTTGAAACAATTATTAAATTAACATCATCTTACTTGTGTATGTTTTCACATATCATATCCATGTGTGTCAAAAAAGGCCTAGTTATAAATATTACATTTTTTACTTTTTCTCGAAAACTTCCTAATTTCCCTGCATTGAGAATAAATACTTCTTTTACGTCATGTTCTCTTAATAAACTGTAAGTAGCAATTAATCCTATGGGCCTAGTTAAACCTTCATCCAAAATAATCACCTATACATTATAAAAACAAATTTGTGAAATAAACAATACATACAAGTAACATATTATCATCAAATTGAATTATTTACTTTTGGGCCATCGCATTTATCTAGTAATAAAATTAAATTTTTTGCAGCACTTTCTTGCAGCTGCCCTACGTTAACACGTCCACCGTTTAAATAGTTGGACATGTTAACAAATTGGATTAGGTACAATTTTAATAACGATTATTTAAACTGTTAATTTAAACAAAAAACAACCAATAATCGACATTAACATGAAAATAAATTGAATGGTATTCGAATGTTCTAAATTTCAAATGCCAACATGATTGAAATTTTATCAATTAAATTAATTAGGTAGGTACATTTGTGAATATATTTTGTCTTCAATAAAAATATTATTGAATTTGATTACTATTTTATCATTTCAATTTAATTTCAAAACACGGCCTTAGATGATAATACCCTAACATGCATGATAAGAAGGGTTCTGAAATATACACACAAATTAAGATAACAGTGTTACCTAATATTGTGATAAAAACTATACGTATGTAAACGTCTTTCTGGCTACACTGTAATATCATCTGGAAATCATTTGATAAACTTATTCTACATGTTTGGGAGTTTTTACTTTTGATACCATAGAATAAATTCATGAGGTTACTTCTTGCTGAAGGTTAAAATTATTTATATTAGTGTTAAAGTATTAAAAGGGTTGTACTCTGTAAAAATCGCTTGTATTATTTATACATTTTTTGTTGAACACCAGTAAGGCATCTTTAAATTTTCATTATGTACGGATTGTCAAAATTAGCTCAGCCATTGGCCAGACAAGCTTTACAAGTTATTCCGAAAAGGACAAATGTTGCTATAAATGCACCGCCTCAAGTGAGAATGGCAAAATGGGTAAGACTAATCCTCTGGTATAGTTTATAAAATATATTAAAATCAAAATATAAGATATTATATTTGTGTGCATGAGTTTCATGCTTAAGTAATATGTTCTTAGTGACGTGAAAATATTTAGGATACTACTTCTGTGTGTATTCATCATAGCTCTCGTTGTGTCACGTAAATTTGTTTATTTTTGTATAATTGACAAATATTTGTAGAAATTCATAATTTACACATCTAATTAACATACTTAAGGTACTACAAGTACATAAACAAATACAGGTATAGTTTGAATTACATACAAGTTGGTCTTTGTGATACATGAAATGTGAAACTCTGGTAAATGTGTTCATTCAATGGATAGTATGTAGATATTTAAAAAAAAATGGTAGTGTCATAGTTATCCATAGTTTCTCTGACTTTGATGTATACAGTAAGTAACTGTTTTAATTTCTTTTGTCTCCTGTATAACAAATTTTACTATTTTGATGTTATGGATGATAATTATCTTTTGTTAGTTCATTATTATAATATAAACATAATTATGTATCTATGATACCTGTAAACACTTCTTTATTAAAGTTTATATCAGCAATATTTTTTTTAATTGAATCTGTTTAATATGCGTATTTTTAAAAATCTTAATAATTTCAATAACTTTTAAATACATGAAATTGCATAAAATACACTCGCATTTGTTACGATTACGCTTTAGACAAAACAGAAATCAGTTATTTGTGATGTAAATTAATTTCAAATTAAAAATGTTATTATCTGTTGATCAAATTTATAAATGGCCTTTTATTTTTTTTTTTCAGAAACAACTGCTTATTGGAGGAGCAGCATCTGGTTCAATCCTAATCGTTCCTATTTGGGTTTTATATGACCTTAAGCACATGCCTCGTTAATAATTATTATAAATTATTTGTCGTCATTAATAATTATAGATGTTAACTAAAAATGTATAACTTGTTTTAATAATTAAAGTGAATGTAAACTTAATAAAATTCAATTAAAACAAAATGTATTCTTTATTTTTAGAAATATTCAGCTCAGTAGTTACTTAAACATTTTAAATTTACTCTGGTATATTTATGTTATAGTTCCTATAGAGGAGTGGTTCTTAACCTTTTCTGAATGACTGACCCCTTCATAATATAAAGCAAAATCACGGACCCTCGGATAATTTTATTATTGTGATGCGTTGGTTATTAACCTATGTAATAATTATATAATATATAATGCAAAACTACATGCGTAATATTATAATATAATATTGCGCTGTTATCATTGGTAACAGAATACGAGCGACAATTCATTATTTTTATTGCAATTGTCTTAACAAAAATATTTTGGGTAAATTTGAAAAAATTCAGAGCCATTTCTTGTTTTTATTTTTAGGTAAATAAAACAGTTATTCAAAAATCGGTTTGGTAAAAAGACCGATAAGATCAAATATGTTTACAGAATTCAAATACGATATTTCTAAGTAGCTGTAATTTTATCAGGCTCTTTTAGGTCTAAATTGATTTCTTGTACCACCAAAATGGCTTTGACTCATAGAAAGAATACTCTAGGCCACAATAACCTCAACCAAAATTTCACCAAACCTTCAAGTATAGTATTTTTTTTTTAAAAGTTTTTATTGAATAGTTAATTTTGTATCCACAGTTTTCAAACAAACTGTTTGAAAATGATTATACCACTTTTAAATAAAATAATTTATTCCTTATGTCTATCACCTTTGATTTGGTGATTTTTTTTAAACTAAAACAAAATATATGTTTTTACTAAATGTTAATATCGATGAAAAAATGTCTCAATATATTAGTTTTTGCAAAGTATATACTTTGACAGTGCTATTATTAAGCATTCGCGAGATACATGCCAATATTCATAAATTAAATATATTAAATTTTTAATAAAAAAAAATGTGCGCAAAATAAAGATATACGGCGCACATTGAATTAATTATTTTACCTATGCAATTTTTACACGTTATTTGATTTAACATTTAATAAATTTGGTTTTATGAGTTATCAGTCATAAGATGGTAAGAGTGATGAGTGATATTAACACTATTAACAATGATTAATGATTGACATTTAATGACTGGCTATGATAAATATATCACAATATACTGAGCACATAGGAGTAGGTAACGTTCATTTAGATAACTAAATTCCTGCAAGGGCACTTTCTACTTAACAATGCTATACCTATTAAAAAGTCGCTCAAATATGTGCCTTTTTATATTACTAATAAAATTATAGTAATTTTTTCTTGTTTCTTACAAATAAAAATAATACTGCACGAAATGTACTAGTAGTAATCGGTGTTTATTTGACAAGAAACAGCCATTTTGAAGTCATAAAAGTCGTTAAGAAGTATTTTACATTTTAAACATTTTTTTTAATCACATTTTAAGGTATTTTTAAACATTTTTCAAACAAATTATATTATATTCAGCTTAATATTTCGATCCCAGTCTTGTCCTTTCCCATTCGGCCACTCTTTTTTTTGTCTTTTTTATGGCAGCGTCTTTCCTCTGTTTAGCGCATTCGCTAATGGATATTTTTAACTTTCTGCAATGGTGTTTGAAATGTTCCCCAAACCTTTTTAAATCTATGTTATCTGAAACAAAACGAACATTTTCAAATTAAATACAAATTAGGTATATTATGTAACGCCTGTAGTCAATGTTTACAATTTGTCGATGCTTGTCGAGGGATCTTGCAGTTCTTGTGTGCGATAGCAAAATCTGTATCGTTGTCACTCATGTAATCGCAAAAGTCATACACTCGAATAGTATCAACTATGAAATTGTAAGAGATGCTGACCAATTTTCTACAATCCATGAACACATCTTCTATAATCTGAAAATTGTACATCACAGTACAAAGTTTAATTCCGTCGAAAATGCAATTATACAATTGAATTACCCATATATTTTATGCGTATATCTTACACGCTAATTAATAAGCTGTACAAAAAAAAGCGGTTGTTTTTTTTCTTCAAATTAGTTTAGAAAATATTTTAACTGTAGTAGCAAGTATGCCAAGTGCACGTCGTATATATTACACAAGAGTTGATGTTTTATTAAACAAAGTAAATAATAAAAATCAATATAACCATTATTTTATAGATTGCTATAATGCAACAGAAATATACTTTAGCCGGCGAAGAAAAAAGAAAACCTAGTTAAAATATAAAAACTGTTTAACAAACAATATTAAAAACTTATTTTGATAATAAATATTTACAACAATTTAAAGGGGATGGAAAGCGCTTTTTATTAAGAGGCAAAGGAATAGCAATATTTGAACAAAATATAGCAGCCAGTTTTAGTATGCCGACTAATTTTTAGATGATACAAGATTAGGTTATTCTAGTTTTGATACTTTTTAAATTTTTACTTTTCGAGTTATGGGCGAAAATTCGATAAAAATTGGACTTTCGTAGAAGTCATTTTCAATAGCAAAAAAAAAAAATTGTTCAAATCGGATCGGTTGACACTTACACAGAAAGTGATTTTGCGTTTCAGTCTTTATTTGTAAAAAAAAATATTGACACTTTCCGTTCCCTTAAACTAAAATAATAATAGTTTTCTAAATAAGAATGTCTATTTAGGAAAACTTTAAAATTTATATATCATTAATAATTCGGCAAAATATTGACAAAAACATAATAGTTTTAAGACAATAGTATTATTATTACCTCAGCTTCGGTTTTCTCTTTAGGATCAGCTGAATTTGAAGCTCTAGGGTCAGCAGAACTTAAAACTTGATGCCGGCCTAGATTAATAGAGGTGGCAGCTAGAATAAAAGATAGCAACAAAATAGAGAACTTGAAAAACATTGCATTATTCTATGAATTATAAGCCCAATTTAAAAACTGTGAGACAAAACCAATAATGATTTTTAACGTCTTCGAATGCCTGTTTTATAAAGAATTGAGAAACAAACTAAAACCAGCATAACATTTATTATGTTGTAATGAAAACAATAATCATGAACTATTATTATTAGTCAGACCAACTATTTATGTTTTTTTTACTTCTTATTAGGTGATTGTACATTTGCCAATCTGACTTTAAATACATAATGTTTGCATATCTGTTATAGGTTATACTAAGTTGACAATATTCGCGAATCAGGTATAATTTTTTAGGATTGTATACACAGATGTGTGTTAATAAAAATTATAATTTTATTTCTACTGCGCTATACATTTGATTATTTACAAAACTAAATATATTAAACTTTTCATAAATCTCGTGTAAAATATACAGAGAAAATCACTGTGTAAATATTGTGTGGATTTCAATTTTTTTCAAATAATAAATTATGCATGGTAGTTACTTAGGTTCAATAATCATTTTGTATTAATATTAACGTTTTACTTAATATGTGAAAAACTACAAAAATATAATACAATACTACCAATAATTTAATAAAACATAACTAAAATTATTTCATAGTTAAATTTTTTTTTAATATGTCACAAATAGTTAACTTGTAATGCAGAATACTTACTTCGAATTTTAAGATAAGATAACTTACATGAAACTTAAAATTCATTAGAAACATAAAACTTAGGATAATTTAGCTGAATGGGTCCGATAATATTATTAGCGTTAAAAGTCAACTAGTTTTTAAATAGTGTGGTCATCTTGTAAGTACTGCTGAATTAAAAACTTAAAACCGGTAATTGGGTTTTTTTATTTAATGCTAGATTACACTTTCTGAAGCTCAAAATTTGAAAATCGGATTTGTTATTAAATTATTTTGTTTTGTGTCTGTAAATACAGTAATTTCTTTAAAAACCTGGAAAAGCCGAAAACTTGCCGGTTTTCCAACTTTCAACTTTAATTTTATCATTTTAGTAATACAATATAATAATATAGTGATATAAACACATTATTATTTGTCTGCTCAATCAACCAACATGTTATTTCCAAACAAATCAAATTTAAATAAAACGTATTGTTTTTTTCTAACCAACAACTAAATTATATTTAATTACCATTTGTCGAAGATACAGTTTTGTCACACCTGAAAAGTAAACGTTAATTTTCATTGTGTATATTTAACACACAAAAACTCATTTTATTAAGACAAATTTTAAACTAGAAATAATGTTTAAAAAAAATACTTACGAAGCACACGCTGCAAGACTAAGTAAAAGAATAATCTTGATATTCATCATAAAATCTAATATCGTACAGGTATAATATTCAACTGTTATAATAGAATACTATATTTGACTCGACTATAATACCATGCAGTGTGTCGATACAGTATTTCAAAGACAAAATGTAATAATTATTCTTTTTCTACAATTGATCGACATGAATTATTTTTAATTTGTTTTAGGATTTGTACACACAGATGTATTATTGTGTTTTTAATTTCTACTGTTCTATATCATTTAATTATTATTTACAACACAAAATATATTAAACTTTTACAGTTTTTTTTTTGTCGATTTTGCAAATTCCTAGGTTTACCATTAGCAGTAACTGTTGTCACTTGTCAATATTTATAATAGTTTATTTATTTTATTAAATTTAAGTTTTTGATCATATTGTAGTAATAATAATACATTATAATATATGTAGAATATAGTTATGATTTTAATGATGATAATTATTAATTCTTATTCAAATACAACACTATAATTTACATCATTTTTGTTTTGTTTTTGCAAATTAGACGTACATTTTTATAGTATTGTATAATACTTAAAAATGACAATACAATACGATACGAGTGTACAAAGGACACTTTTTTCAGTGACATGATTTTTGACAATATTAATTAACAAGGCAAATCGAATACAAAAATAATTATTATACACACATTAGTTTAATTTTAATAGATAAAAATCGAATATTTTTAGACACAAAAATTACAAGACGAATTTATTAAACAGTTATAACAAAGGGCAAAATTTATACAGTTTATGTATCCTTCAATTTGGTGCCTGTATTAAAAATGACCAGAATATTTATTTTAGATTGTTTAAACTGTTCGCCGGTTAGATTAGGATCAGCTTAACTGTACATGGTCATAATGATTTTTATACAATAAATTTTAACAATTTTTTTTTATACATTATTACACAAATAAATATTAACAATTTTATTCATAAAAAATACAGCGTACCGCTCACTTTCTCTGAACTGCCAAGATTACACAGTTTACTTATACTTATCAAATCAATAAGAGGTAGTTATAATTTTACTTTTATAAGTGTTTTATTTTTAACATCACAAGTCCGTTCCTACGATTTTGTTATATCTAATAAAATATATACTACTCCATTCAGGAGCCAAGTATAGGCAACAATTGTTACACCAAGCAAACCACAGCCCGTCCTTGTATAAGTCTGTTTAGTAATCTATTTTACAAATAGGTGATGCCCGTCTGTTAAGTCTGACTGACTTACTTACAGAGTACTTGTATGATTGAGGTGTTTGTGTGTAATACTAATATTATATACTCTTTTCCGAACCACCTTTGAGGTAGAGTACAAGGCTCGTTTTTTTTTTGGCGTGGTTTCCCCTTTTAGAACAGTTTTGCCGACAAACCAAACGTTTAACTTTCACGTCCGGCGTGTCGCTCAAAACGTCTCTAAAAAGGCCTAGTCCACGACTGTGAAAATATATATATTTAAATTAAACGTTAATGTTTATGTTTTCAATTAAATTAATAATGTTATACCTAAATATTTCTTGCAGTACTGACCGTGTTCGATTGAACTTGACAAGTACATCTTTTACTCACCACGACTGTGTTCTGTTCGTCCTTACCTGTTTTCGTTGCTTGAAAGCCTTAGCTGATGTTTCTCTTATGGTAAGTTTTTACATTTGAATTTCCACTCAATTCTATTTCTACCACCGTGTCCAATTGATAGATAATTGATAATAGTGAATTATATTAAATAACTTCTTCGTTGAAAGTGTAGAATAAAATCTACTTCTATTCTTTAGAGGCCACCATTAAGACCATTAGCTGCAAAACGATTAAATCATTAAAATGTTTCAACTTTAAATTATATTACTATAGTTTTTGTTTAGTTTTATTGCTATACATTTTTAAAATACTTACTGTATATATTGTCACTATAAATAAATAAAACCAACTCTCTCTCTCTGTCCTGTGAGCTATTTTACTTAGAATGGTCTATCCCTAACTGCGTTAATTTGTTCTTGCTTTTGTCGATCCAGCATCTTTGTTTTCAGTCTTTCTAATAATTTTCTCTCCATGACAGCTGGCTTTTTCTCATATTCCTGCCCACATTTCACATTATCACTGGTCAGTGATTTATGTTGCTTATGTTGGCACCTAGATACTTAAAATCGTTTACTTCTGCTGTTTGATTCGTTTGACATTTTTATATGAATAAAATTGACTTACCGTCTTCAATGGGAACAGTAAAATCGATAAACTCCAGATATATTGTCTTGACATCAAATCGTTTCATTGTTTTCAAGCCTTGACCGTCGGACACTTAGCTCGCTAAGCTTATTTAAATTTACTTAAAAAAGTGTTATATATTCTAAATTCCATATATTGCCCTTACCGTATATTATATACATTACACACTTTAGAAATGATCTTTAGAAACCTGATGTCTTGAATATCCTTATTGTTACTAATAAATTTGCTTATTAAGGATTGCAAACTTCATCGGTTGCTAACTCTGGAAACGAATAAACTGTTGTATTAGTCAATATGGGTTTTGCTTTAACAACAACAAAAATTTACTTTTGTCAAGTCTGAATCATCTGTTGCTGGAGGAAAGCACTTCTTTTATTTTTTCCCTAATACAGTTAAAATATTTTTAAGTTAAATTTTGGTTAATATTTGGTTTAACTTGTGTGGTAGACACTCACACACACTATATTTACTTACGAATAAAATACATACATTTGGCATAGGCAGCTTTTGTGTACTTACATTTTTAGAATTTTTACTAATGATACCTTCAAATGGGTAAAATCCGTGTTGTTGAATTTTGACATTTATTCTGCCTTGCTTCTAACACGTTCGTTTGTAAGTCTGCATTTCAATTTAAATCGTTTGCGTTTAGCAAGTAGACGTTTTCGCGCCAGAAAAAAACATTTAGGTGAATAAATTACAATTTAGGTTTACACTGAACACGTTATTTGTTCAAAAATATTTTGTTCATAATACACTTACCGGCTTATGTAGTCCACAGTGGTTGCCTAAATGTATACTTAATGATACTTTTTGAACACAAGACACAAGTATTTATGTATATTTAACGTCACGTAGGTACAGTGTCCCGTCGTGGAAACCTGCAAAAACCAGCCCAACAATATATAATGTCATTATAAAAAGTTAGAGTATTAAAAAAAAAAAGGTTTAAATTATATTCTCCTACCTGTAAACCAGCTGTTTGATTCGTTTAATGTCTATGAATACAATTTTGACTTACCGTCTTCAGTATAGGAACAATCAATTTATCGACTCCGGATAAACCCTGAATGCATGCACTCTGTTCTTCTTCAGAGAAGCAAACTAAGCAAGTCTAAGGCCAATATTCAACGTGTAGTGGCGACGGTGTTGGTACCGTGGCTGCAGCTGGAAGAGCTACTTACGTCTGAAATATATTTAATACATTTGCCGTTGGCCGCTGCTGTACTCGACCGACTAATTAAATGTTATTAAAAAAATATCTAGGAATACTTACATTAGTAGAATTTTTACAACACCATGCCGTAAATGAGTTTATTCCGTGCTGTTGAAATTGCATGGCAGAAGAAAATTTGCAAGTAGACATTTTTACATCAGAAAAAAAGATGATTAGGTTACACTGAACACGATGGTTTTAAATCAAATATATAAATAGCTGATAACATATAAAGAAGTGACGCCCCCGGAATCAATAACCAGTACATAGGGGAATTATAAAGGGACATGTATATTTCTTAAGATACAATACAAACGCACGCGCGCTAATAATAGTTGAAAATTAGATATATTTGGTTTACAATACACTTACCGGCAGCCTGTGAAGTCCGATGGTTGCCTAAATGTATACTTACCATACTTGAATGTGATTGCAATCGGCGTACAAGTTGAACTTTATAAGTTTCCACATTAAGACGTTGCCTGTTTCTTGCCGGTGACCCATCATTGCGCCGCCATTGCCTTGAATGTATGCACACTGTTCTTCCCTGGAGAAGCAAAGTAAGCAAGGCCAATAAGTAACGTGCTAAACATTACAGTAACACATTTTGTCTTCGGCACGGGCTTTGGTCTCTCGCTTGACAGTGCTCGGTATACCTATGCACTCTGTCAATTTTGTTCTTGCCTAGAGAAAAACCAAAAACTAGTACATAGGAGCATATGGAAATGTCTTAAGATACAAAATTGTCTTGGCCGACGTGACAAGTCCATGTCAAAATTGAACCAAGTATAAATTAAAAATATAGAAATAAATATATTTCATTACTAATCGCAGATATGTATATATGCATATAAAAGTAAATTGAACACAAGTAGTTATCTGTATTGAACGTCACGTAACCACAGTGACCCGTCGTGGAAACCGCAGCAAATATCTTTAGTGTACATAAAACATATAGTATTAATTGTTAAAAAATTACAGTATAATAAAAAAAAAAAAAAAAAAAAATTGAAAAATCATTTATATTAAACGGTTTTAGTTTGAGGGGAAAATACCAACCTTTTGACCGATTGTAATTACTATGGACAGATAATAATGATATTATGTAGTACATGGGTTTTTAACTCCACAATATGCATATAAGTAAAGCTCAATTAAATTGCACTGTTTATGACAATTGTGGAAGGTTCAGAGCAAAAACGAACCAAGTCCATCTCAGTTGATTTCCAGTAATTGGCTCCCAAATACTGTTCTTCGCATAATGTATTCAGTAACAATGAAGTAAAGACTTGGTTCACTATCAAAACTTCAATCATTTCAAAAGTACCGAGCCAACGGTCGTTTTCCAATATGTTCGTTTGACAATAATTGCGCGCTTGTATTTTTAATTAGTATACATGCATTTTATGTTATATGGATTATAATTTTAAATTTATATATTTGGTTTACAATACACTTACCGGCAGCCTGTGAAGTCCGGTGGTTGCCTAAAATAAATGTATACTTACCATACTTGAATATAATTGCAATCGGCATACAAGTTGAACTTTATAAGTTTCCACATTAAGACGTTGCCCGTTTCTTGCCGGTGACCCATCATTGCGCCGCCATTGCCTTGAATGTATGCACACTGCGTTCTTCCCTGGAGAAGCAAAGTAAGCAAGGCCAATAAGTAACATACTATACATTACAGTAACGCATTTTGTATTCGGCACGGGCTTTGGTCTCTCGCTTGACAGTGCTCGGTGCATGCACTCTATCTATTTTGTTCTTGCCTAGAGAAGAACCATTAACTAGTACATAGGAGCATATGGATACAAAATTGTCTTGGCCGACAAGACATGTCCATGTCAAAAATGAACCAAGTATAAATTAAAAATATAGAAATAAATATATATTTCATTACGAACCGCAGATATGTATATATGCATATAAAAGTAAATTGAACACAAGTAGTTATCTGTATTGAACGTCACGTAGCCACAGTGACCCGTCGTGGAAACCGCAGCAAATATCTTTAGTGTACATAAAACATATAGTATTAATTGTTAAAAAGTTAGTGTAATAAAAAAAAAAATATAAAAAATTGAAAATCGTTTATATTAAACGGTTTTAGTTTGAGGGGGAAAATACCAACCTTTTGACCGATTGTAATTACTGTGTACAGATAATAATAGTATGTAATATACGGTTTTTTTAACTTCGCCGTATGCAAATAAGTAAAACTCAGTTAAATTACATCGTTTATGACAATTGTGAAAGGTTCAGAGCAAAAACGAACCAAGTCCATCACAGTTGATTTCCAGTACTCGGCTCCCAAGTATTGTTTTTCGCATAATCTACTCATACTTCAGTAACAATGAAGTAAAAACTTGGTTCACCATTAAACTTCTGTAGTACCGAGCGAACGGTCGTTTCCTAATTTGTTCGTTCGACAATAATTGCGCGATTGTATTTTTAATTAGTATCAATGTATTGTATTTTATGTTATATGGATTATAATTTTTAATTTAAATATTTGGTTAATAATACACTTACCGGCAGCTTGTCAACTCAGGTGGTCGCCTAAATGTATACTTACTATACTTGAACATTATTGCGACCGGCGTGTAATCTGAACTTTTCAAGTACAATTTTCCACATGGAGACGTTTCCTGTTCCTTCCATCAACCAAATTCGTTTGTACGGCTATTGAAAACAACAATATTCAATTAAGTAAGTATACAAACGTGTATATAATATACCATGTAAATGAAACATGACCTTTCTGGATGAGGCATAAAACAGACTTGGCCAATTTCGTATCTATGTATCTACTTGACCGACTAATTAAATTGTTTTAAAAAAGTATCTAGGTATACTTACATTATTAGTGTACTTAAAAAAAAAAATTATTTAAATTATATTCTTCGACCTTTAACACAGCTGTTTGAGCTGTTTGATTCGTTTGATGGTTATGAATAAAATTGACTTGCCGTCTTCAATAGGAACAATATATTTATCATTTCCGGACAAACCCTGAATGCATGCACAATGTTCTCCCTAGAGAAGCAAAGTAAGCACGGTTTCCGTACCTGTTCCTCGGCCGGGACACTGCCATTGGTGATATGCTTTTTGATAATTAATTAATTAACAAGGCAAATATTACATAAACAAGTTGAATTTGATAAACACAAAAATCTTAAGACAAAACATGTAAACAGTAAAAACAAGACAAGTTGATGGTAACAATAAAACAACGGCCGTCGTGACGACCGTTAATTTATATACAACATTTGATGGTATAATATAGTAGCTAGACATAGTATATTTCAAATCGACATAAATATTAAGTAAAGGGTGTCTCAAAAAGAACGCTGGATTTAAATCTGCTATAAATTAAATTTATTTCTCTTAAAAAAACTTAACAAATATATCATTCTCTTCAGGAGAAGTTTAGGTTTAACAGTGAAAAACAATATCGGGCAATGACCCCCCCTACTAGCCCTGCAGGCGATTATTCTTTCGATAAATTTTACCATCACTCAATCACACATTGACCCATTAATTTTTTTTAAGTTTGTGAACAATTTGGACATTTTGAGAGATTCGTAATAATAAATCTAACAATTTCTTTTTTTATAAAAATAAGTAAATGCACAAGAAACTAAAATATAATCTTTAGACGGAGATGTATCAACTCAATTAATTATTTCAATCAACAAGCATTTATGATTAAAATCATAAATTCAAGAATTTCAAGCAAATTTAGAATACTGTTTTGTATAAGGGTGAATTTGTGTGAGAATTGCACTTTTACATTATCTTACAGGTCAACAAGTATTTCTTATTAATTAAAAAAACCTCTTACTTTCACTGTTAAATTTAAAAAACTATAGTTTTCCTTTTTGAATTAAACTGGCATCTTTCAAATAATATTTAATTTTCAAATACGCCATGTTTCCAATGACCATCATATTTTTATTAATTGATTACTTGTCGGGATTAAATAAATAAAAGCTTGTACCCTTTAACCCTATAATAAACTTTTGTATCCTAATTTACATTAATATTATGCAATTTCATACTCTGTCGTTATTTACACCTTGTTTTATTATCAGCTAGTAATAATAACTTTTTTCGCTCCAACCAATGTCTTTTCTGAAAATAAATTGGTACCAATTTTCGATTGGCGATCTTACATAACTATTTTTTATAAGCCAATTAAATGGACTTGTGTGCTATTTCCATCTAACTCGCAGTATATTATGTCAGGTGTACTAATTATTTATTCTTTTCAGAAAAACATGCCTGCATTTAACTAAAAATTGCAATTATTTTTAAACATTTTTTCTTTTACTTCATTATAACTTAATTTAGGTAAGAACATTGTGGTATTAAGAAATGTGGTCTGTTTTTTTACGTTTTGGACCAAATAGCCAAAAAAAATGATGGTACATATTATTTGATTAACAAGGAATGCAAAATGCTTGCAATGTACAGGCGAATTTAGCTAATTATTTTAAGATAGTTAGTCTCTGTCTGTATTAATTGTTTTATTATTATTTGCCGACGTCCTGAACACGATTATTATAGAAAATAGTTTGGAAAGGTTTACTTACAACACGTCCAGGGGAATCAACATAACGGGGGATTTTTAGTGTAGCCAGTTTTCCAGTGAACTCACTATAAGAGTAACCCTATTATAATATCAAATTGTAACTTATCCTAGAATACTTAAAAAGACAAAAACGTTATGAAGCCAACGCATAACTATTGAAACGTTTATACCATACATCATTGTATACAAACAAAGGTATTTTGAAATCTCTATCTATTTTAAACTATTAGTAAGAAAGTAGTAATTTTTTTTTTTTGCTTTTCATAGTACTTTTTGGGCACGATTTCTGACTAAAAATTCATAGCAAAAATTGTATGCTCTAAGCAAATACAATTTTTTTTGTAATATTTTTACACTGCAATGAACGTCAATAAAATTCTCGTATTAATATGTATTTTATTTGTGCAAACAAACTTAAAACCATTTGCATCGCCAAATTGTAGACATAATCGTTGACTTTGGTCTGTTAAGTACTGAAAACACTGAATATTCACAGTTCAGTCGTAACACAGTACAGTAGAATTAAACCGTATATTATAACAGTTAATATGATAAATATTAAATGTATTCTTTTGCTCAGTGTGGCAGCATTCGTGGCGTAAGTATTTTTTCTAACTATTTCTTTTTAAAAGAACCGTTTGGAAATAGTTCATAAAATATAGCGTTTTCGTGAATTCATTTTTATTTTAAATATATACGTTTGCTTTACAGGTGTGATGCCGGTGAAGTACCTAAAGAAGAAGGTAACTATAATAATATCTTATAATAAAAGAGTTGATACTACGTACTGTATATACCTACAAAAAGTGAATTTTTTATTCACGACTAATTTTATTTTGTATTATTAGATTAAATGTATAAAACTAAAAGTTCTCTATTCTGCATGTCAGTTACTTTTTTGAGAATATTCTACTGAAAGATAGAACTGGTCGATTGGGTGTATATTATTATAATGTTATAAGAAAAATTACAACTAAATAACCATACAAATTTTTTCTAAAATATGAAGTTTGCAATTCATTGTCCTGTACATAATAAAATTATTAAAATCAATGAAAATAACTAATATAAATCTAAATAGTACAAGCCAACCATTTATTATTGAGTTATTGTGTTTTTGTTATCCGGGTTTAGCAGTTATTTTAGTTTTCTTAATAAAAAAAAAAGTTTTGGTATAGATTTTTGAAAAAAACGGCATAGGTCAACGCTGTCCATTTTTTTTGTGGGTAAAGTGTAAACGGTATTTCCTTAATATTTTACTGTATTTCAGTTGTACTATAAAAAAATTATCCCTCATAATTAAACCATTAATCATTTTTCAAAAAGCGTTCCGTAATTTTAGATTGAAAATGTTGTACATTTTTTAATGTATTATTCTCGATTTTGAAGTAGAAAAGTTAGGAAATTTTTTTTCACTTTTGTCCATGTTAAGCGCTGTATAAACTTGTTTAAACATTATAGAAATACATTCATACTGTTTCAACACAGCGCACGTACACAGCTGTATGAATTTCATTACTAGTTCACACTAAAAAATTGTTTATTTTTTAGAAATTTGAGAAATCTTTGAGTAAATCCTAAATTGATGCTATTATGGCAAAAATGACACATTGTATTATATTGTTTAAAGTACTTATAGTTTAATCCATTTAGGAGATCATAATTTAAATGCAGACTCCAGTGAAGGTGGACTCATTAAGGTCGGCAAAAAAACATATTTAAGAACGCCAGACGTAATTGTAGGCATCACTACATATAATGGCAGTGAATATTCAAGTAAATTTAATTCGGCCTCAGGGTCGAATTATTTCCATACCTTATATAACATTTTATTTATTGAAAACGTTTCAGGACATTGGGCTTATACCCAAGGGAGTGTAACCCTAGAGTTTATTGGCGATGCGTTATGTATCAACGGCAAAGAAGTCGCAGGAGTTAAAGCTAACGAAGTAATAAGAGTAGATTGGGGTCCCTGTATAGTCAGCATCAGGAGGCCAAGAAATGATAGATTACAAGAAAAGGAAACCAATACAAGCCAAAGCAAACCAGGTAAAGCTGCCAAAAATTGCGAACTGCATGATTTAGTTTTGGGTAAATAATTCACGAGTATAGGCATTCATTTCCATGGAAAATATTTCTGATGATTAATTTTGAAATTATCTGCACAATTTTCAGATTCAATATTACAAGTGTCGCCTAAAGGCACTACTATGCATGGTGTTGTGAAAAATTGAGTACGTTATGCTCGCGATTGGTTAAAAATAAAAAAACGGAATGCCGACAAAGCAGCACGCTATTTACTTGAAGAGGAGGAAGACTATAGATCATAATTATATATTAGAATAAAATCTTAGTAGAGCATGTAGGTATATTATAGTAGTTATATTATTATAACCGTTTCAACTTAATTAATTGACTTGCGAATGAGTAATAAGAACTTGTAAACCAATATTTCGATATTTTTCTTTAATTACAATGTTACATTGATTACAACTTGATATATGAACATTGTGTTAATAATAATATGTTTTTATTATTTTATGTTAAACAGCTTTAACAGCGTAAGTAAATAATTTAATTTTCCAAATAAATAATATATTAATAACTTCACTAAAAATTGCGTTTATTTTTAAACGTTTTTTCTTTTACTTCATTATAACTTGATTTAGGTAAGAACATTGTGGTAATATGCGGTCTGTTTTTTGACGTTTTAGACCAAAAACCCAGAAAAAATGTCGACTACTTAGAATGGTCCGATTGTAATTCTGTAAAGATACACGAGTTTTTTGGCAACTTTACCAAGTTATGCAGGAAACAGATTTTTGCTCTTTTTATGTAAAAAAGTTGGGTTTCAATATTGAAAAACTTTCAAATTCCAACATAACACGGTAAAATAGCCGAAGACACGAATTTCTTTACAGAATTGTAATTGGACCATCTTGTGTAGTCGAAATTTTGTATGGCTTTTTGGTAAAAAAAAAACCGACATGGCTATTATTCATAGAAAAAATTATTTAAATTAAAAATAATACCCCGAAGCATATACAAATTAACCGGTGACATAATTGACATGGTCGAAATTTATTAAAACCTTTTTTTCTTCTTAAATATTGCCTATACAAAACTCCTTAAAAACAGACCGCGTGCAATCCCCTTATTTTTATTTTACTACTAGGAACAACTATACTACTTTACATTTACTACTAGGAATAATCCACGAGTATTGCATATATAGTATTGCATAGCTTTGATAAGAACTTGTACAGCCGTTAACTGCTGTAGATTAGCATAGACATTAATTGGCTGTCGGGTTATAATTTTATCTATAATCGTGGTTTTACCTGATGTGGTTGCACATTGTACTGTTGTCTGTAAAACCGGGACACGGCTACTGTATAATATTATTATTGTATATGGGTTTTCGTTACAGAACTCAGAAGTACTATAAAATGTTTTAAAAAATATACCTAATATTAGAGTATTATAGACATTATTAGTGACGGAACCAGGAAGTGCGTTTTGATTGGATGTTCACACATTAATTACTCAGCTGTTAGATTTGTATTTCTGATAAGACGAATGATTTACTGATAATTTCTTACCCGCGATACGCGAAATCGTCATTGGACATTGACACGGATTTTAATTTTCATTTCCTGAATCTCGCCGTTGGTTTATTTTTGTTTTATAGGCAAAGTGTGTTGAAGCTATTACAAATAAAACAATTTGTTAAATTGAATCTGTTAGTTTAGTTAGATTTTTCTTTTTTTTTTATTGATTATGGCTCGTGTACTAGTCGGAGTCAAAAGAGTAATTGATTATGCGGTGAAAATTCGAGTGAAACCAGACAAATCAGGCGTTGTGACCGATGGAGTCAAGCACGGTCTGAATCCATTCGACGAGATCGCCATCGAAGAAGCCGTACGCCTTAAAGAAAAAAAATTCGCATCTGAAGTGATCGCAGTGTCTTGTGGTCTACCACAGGCCCAAGAGTCATTGCGAACGGCTTTGGCTATGGGTGTAGATCGGGGAATTCATGTAGAAGTGCCGCAAGCGCAGTATGATACTTTGCAACCTGTACACGTATCGAAAATATTAGCAAAGATTGCACAAGACGAAAAAATTGACATAATCATTGTTGGTAAGCAAGCAATCGACGACGATTCTAATCAAACGGCTCAAATGACCGCAGCTTTATTGAATTGGCCTCAAGCGACATTTGCATCCGAAGTCAAGGTTGAAGGTAGCGATGTAACTGTAAAACGAGAAATCGATGGTGGCTTAGAAACCATCAAAGTTAAACTACCGGCAGTGATTAGCGCAGATTTACGTTTGAACGAACCGAGGTATGCGACTTTACCCAACATTATGAAAGCCAAGAAGAAGCCGATTAAAAAGCTTACTCCTGGCGATGTGGGCGTAGATATTTCCCCGCGGCTTCAAGTGCTGAGTGTTGAAGATCCGCCTACAAGACAAGCAGGGTCAATTTTACCGGATGTAGATAGTTTAGTTGCAAAATTAAAAGAAAAAGGTCACATATAATATGTATTGACAGTTGATTAGAATGTGTTCGTTTATATTATTTATACATATGTAACTTTCAAAAATAAGTTGGGGTTTTTTTTCAATACAAGTATTTAATATTATTCAAATATATTTGTTGTTTTAACAAAAATGTAATTGTAAATAGCTTATATACAATATATTTTTATAGTAAATATTAGTTAATTCAGAATTTATATTAATTTCCAAAAAACAAATTGTGTACCCAAGTATATTATTTTGTTATAAATAAATGCTGCCAAACAACATTTTTCTTTTTTTAACTATAGTCTAGACGTTTTACTAAAAAAAACATGCTAAGTAGTGTAAGGTTTGTTGTCAACATAGTTGAATACTATTAGCATGAATCATTGAGATACATAGGACAAAGGTTGTTTAATAATGAGAACAATATATTTTTTCTCTGACACCGTGTTTGCCATTATACTTGTAATTTAGTAGGTATACCTTTCAAAATTGTATTAATTTTTTAATATGTCCACGTTAAATAAAATACATAGGTTGGAACATTAGTATTTTCAAATTAGAGTAAAATTAAATGGTAACATGCGTAGAGTGGCAGATATGTATGCTGCAGCATCCTATGCGGTTTGCCTTAGTTTGTTTTTTTGCCCCAGATGGTACATATTATTTGATTAACAAGGAATGAAAAATGCTTGCAATGTACATGCAAATTAGACTTATTTCCGTGATTTTTTTTATTCATAAAATCATATTATTTAACAGGTTATTTATAAAATCAGGGTTATATAGGCTTAGGTGATAATAGTTATCACTTTACAATTCTTTTCTCATTATAACTATAATAATAATAATTATAACTATACCGGCATAAATATAAATATAGTTGAAACCAAATAAATAAACTACCTACTAACTACAATAAAGTGAAATCTGAATTCAAACAGCGTAAAAATTGATCATGATTGAGCCAGAATTATTCAAATTTAATCCACCCTTGAATAGGCACAGTTACTTGAAGAAACAATGGGATAAACAGTTTGCTGACATTGAAAAATATGAACTAACACATTCTGTAAGTAAACTACAGTTATTAATCACAGTATTAAATAATGTAACTTTTCTTTTTTAGATCTCTGTTCTATTAACTGACACTATTAACATTCCGAAAGATCTTGAAACCGTATTTTCAAATAACAGCCAGTATTATTTTGTACAAAACGTTACATTAGGTTCAATCATCGATCCAGTGTTTATTCAATCCTTTGTTAAAAATGGTGATTCGTTTAATACAATCTCCTATGTCTTAAATATAGTATAATATAATATTTATTTTCTATTGTTTAGGTAATGTGGAAGCTATTTCATTAAACACTCGTATTGGACTTGATGATTGTATTTCAATTACAAACGATAATTTTTTACATATGTCCTTAACGAAAAATTCCTACCAAAGTATTTGTTTACCAGTTAATGATTCTAGTAAGTAATGTATTTTAAAAATTAATTTTGATACATATTTGATTGATGTGATATAATATTTGATATTTATTTTATTTTATATATTTTTATACTAAGTGTGCTTACTATATAGCAAGAAGCAGCATTGTTAAGTATAGCCAATGTTGCTTTTTTTGTGACGATGAAAAAAGGTGTAAAAATGTGATAAGACAACTAAAAAGATATAATTGGCTATAAATTATAATGCTTGAGTAAGAAAAACGTCTTAAAAATTTGACTTTTTAAAGAGTGAAGTGAAATGCACAACAAGAACAATTATTCATAAGCATCATATAGCATGAGAATTAATATACTAAATAGTAAAGAGAAAATAATAGACAACTGATTTTGGTATAGTTGTTGTAACAATATGGCTATTAAAAAAATTAATATACCAATTTTTATGATGTATTTATTTTTAAAAAATATATATAATTTTAATTTGGTTTAAATTAATATGTTTACAGAAATAGTTCTCAACCTCAAGGACTTATCAGTGAATAGTAAACATTATCAACGCATTAAAGATTGTTTTGATGCTAGTCAGACTAAATTTGATATTCTTATCGATTGGGAACCTCATAGTAAGCACTATTTTGTTTTACTGATTGTAAGGATTGCCTGGATTTTATAGATCATCAAATAGGGTTCAGAGAGAAGGTATAATGGTATGAAGATAGTCTATATTTAATCATTTTTAAATAAAAAATGAATACCTTCTCAGATTTGCTTCCCTAGGTTTATTACATTTATTTATTTTCTGTTTTATAAGTAATTATTTACTTATAATTTGTATCTATAGTTTTAAAATGGTGTTTGGTGAACAATAGTACAGTTCAAATTCGTAAAATTGAATAAAAAAATAATAGTAAATAATGTATTAAAAAAACAAAAATCCATACTCGAAAAAATACTTAGATACAGGATGATAGTAAATCTTAAAAGATGTGTAGGAAAAAATTATTGTCTAAAATCTTGTTTTTAGGGGTTTAGCGATTCTTATAATTTTTTCATAATATACAAATTTTTGTATATTATTTTAGCATATACAATAGAGTATAATAAAAATATTTTAAATTTATTATTTATGATATTTCATATATAAATTCCAGGTGGTGATGTTTGTCCTTCATCAATAGCGTCTTATTTTCACGATAAAGGAATGATTGTTAAAGAATGTTTTCCTCGGTCGACAGTTAAAAGGAAATACAATATGACTGTACCAAATGGCAAAGACACTACCTTACTCGATACTTGGTTATCATATTATAGTTTAGACATAAAGATGTAAGGTTATAAAACATTTAAAAATTGTATCAAGTATTATTGCTAGTATAGCAAACTTAATATTTTGATGTAGCCACATATCTACGTGCATGATTATATAATTAAGCGCTTATACCTATGGATATCCGATATACACTGAGTTGAGACATTCAGTTTTGATTTTTTAATTACTTTTTGAGTAAATATTTTTAATTTCAATATATTTACACAAATTGTATCCAAAATTAGTATTAATAAGACTGTATTATAGTCAGGGGGCGTTTCGGCCTTGTGCATTCCTTTCTGTATAGTGTTGCAGAAATCAAACCCAAGAACCCGATGATACTATATTATTTCTCATAACATCGTGCCACTAAAAATGTCAATGTATTTGTTAGCTCTTCATTAATTATGTACTAAACTGTTGATGTATTATTGTTTAGAGATGACGATAATTCAGCCTGTATACTACCAGATGGAAAACTCATAAAATCAAATTCAAATTATGTTAGCCAAATAATTCAAATAAATTGGACAGGGTGTTTTACTAAAAGCAAAGTAAAATCATTGTTAAATACTTTGAGGTAATTTTGAAATGTGATTGTAATTTTCTTTTGTAATTTACGAGAGACATACAATACTAATTATTTATCAACTCCAAGGCAAAAGGTTGTAAACAACATTTTTGTGTTTATCATTTTTTACAATATTAACGTGGATGACAAATTTTTCTAACAAATGTTTAAATCAAAAAAAATATTGTTAAGATAACTAATATGGGCGTACAAATCAAATTAAAATGTATTTATTTAATGATGCTTTGATACTGGGATATAAGGTTTTGTACTATTTTAGCATATTAGATAAATTCTAAAGTTGCATAATGTGTCTTATGACTACAATAGTAAATAAGTTACAAAAAAGTTGAATTAAAAATTTAGTTTCCTTTTCCTGGAAATTGCATTAATGTTGTTTTTGTAATTTTTCCATGGAAACGTTGATACAAAGTACCTATAATTAATTTATTGAATTTTTATGTCATAGGAATTTTATGAAAAATTCAGGCAAGTCTTTATGGATATCGGTGCACATGGAGCCTTTCTCAAATACTCCGTACAACTGTAGTCATCGAACTATTATATTAAATCCTGACGATACATTATTTATTTCTAATTGTTCTAGATGTAAAAACTATTAAGAATATATTTATTTGACTGCAACAATTGAGTTAACTACATTAATATTTCAATTTTAAAATATTAAATACTCAAAACAGTGATTATTTTTTAAAGCCTAAAAAATGGTCAGTATCGAATCATCCGAAGAGAGTTTCTAATCACTTTTTTGTTGTATAAAACGTGTGTCTGTAAAACTGAACAGTTTTAACTCGCAAACAAAAATAAGAAGGGTCTATTTACATATTTATATGGGGTTTTTAATAAAACAAATTGCAACAAAGATATTATAAGTTTTTGAAAAATCCAAAGTTCAATTAGCCATGACTTAGTTACTCTATAGTAACATAATCGATAAAAACCTCTACAAATGCATACAATATCATAGACCTAAAAATATTCCTTTATAGGTCTAAAACTCAAAACCTGACTGTGGGATAACACCACTTTTCCCAAATTGCGTACTTTACCAAAGACCATTTTTTCCAATCGCCAGTTTCTTATCAGATTTATCTTACCGGATGGTAGACGATAAGAAGAATTAATAGGATAAAATACAAAACAAAGTATTAATATATTGCCTGAGAAACTATAGATTTTACTTTCTGTTCGTTAATTTTAATTTCAATAAGTACATTGACCAACCATATTAAATATACTAGCATACAATTTCTTATAGCATTATAACACATTTGGAGCAGGATTTTATATTTTTTAAAAAATGAATCCTTGTGTTGTACCAGAATTCTCTGAAAGTTGGAAAATGCAAGTGGGTAAATTTTATATAAAAAAATGTAATAAATAAAAAAAAAATAGTCACTAATAATCAAGTACGCATATAATAGTATCTTTGTAAACTAAATTAATTATTCATATTATATATTTATGTAGTACTTAACAACTGCCTAACTCAATCGATTTTGCCTACAATTTGTTTTATTTAATTAGTATAGGTACCACCTTTATTAGTTATATTGTAATTACATTTGTTAATTTTAAGCACGAAGCTCATGTGGCCGAAGCCAAATCAAAAAATCCCGATATCTTGTTGATCGGTGCATCAATAATAGAATGTATTCAATGGTGTCCAATATGGAAAGAAAAGTTTGTTCCATTAAATAGTGTCAATTTTGGCATTTCAGGAGATTGCACCCAACATGTTTTGTGGAGAGTGCAAAACGGTATTCTTGACCATATAAAGCCTAAGGTTTGTAAAAAGACATTTACTCTGCTCCTGCATTGAAAATTATTATTATTTAAACATTAAAAATGTTTAACGAATAACTGATAATTTTGTAGTAAACAACCAAAAAATAAATAAATTAATAAAAGATAAATTTTTAACATATTGTTTAAGCTGTTTATAAGACGTGCTTTTAATAATTATACATGTAAATTATATTATATATATAAAAATATGTTAATATTACACTCCAAACCTCTGCTCTTATATTATTTTAACCTTAACTATTAAAATAACCCTCGTTTTATTTTAGGTGTGTATTCTTAATGTTGGATCAAATAATTTGGATAGTAATTCTCCTGTTGATATATCCGAAGGAATATTGACAATTACAAAAGAAATAACATCACGAATTCCTGAATGCAATATATTTATTATAGTAAGGACTAATACAATATTCTATGTTATAATAAGTATAATAATAATAATTGTATGAAATGATAATTAATTGCCAAATTATTGATTACGTTATAAGGGTATTTTACCATGTGGGCCACATCCCAATCCTTTTAGAGAAAAAGCTGAACAAGTGAACATAGTTCTTAGTGAAAAAGTGAAGCAAACTCCTCGAGTAAATCTCATAATTCCTGACATTTTACAAAAAGATGGTACGTTAAGTGAAAAGGATGCACCAGATTTTCTGCATCCGTCAGAGTTGGGTTATCGTAAAATCTTTAATCCTATTTTACCTCAAGTTTTAGCCATACTTAATAAGTAACACATAAAAAAATATTGATAATTGTTATTATTTATGTTAACTTTTTTTTTTTGGTGTACTAAGAATATATTTATTGTCCAAATTATATAGTCCAAAACTGTTTAATATATAATAGTAACTTGTAGAACCAATTTTTGTGTATTATAAAAACATTGTTAATTTTGTTGAATAAAATGTATGTATATTTCTTATGCAGTACATAATTAGCCTATTGTAATTATTATGGACTTTTTATAGTAATACTATAAAACATGATTTTGAAACAAGAACTGAAAGAAAACGGCTTCGCTAGGTTTGCAGACTACAAAGTCTTAGGAGGAGCTTACAGATTTAAAGTCAAGTTAAAAAACTTTTAAAATTCTACGGTCCATGATAATAGTTTCTCAACTATGTACTATACTTTCCACTAGATGTATTTCGGTGTAAAAAAAATTATGGAATTTTAATTACTTATTTTTGTATATTATGTACCTAATTAATTTATTTTGTAATTGTATCTCCATAACGGATAACCTTATATGCTGCAATTTTTAAACTCTGTTAAAAATACTTTCTGAATTTCTATTGTTCTGGCTGATTTTTTTCTGGCATTTTGTGGTGGGCCTTACTGATGGGGGAAATAATGTGAATTAGGACAAGTGACAGCTGTCCCATGGAATGTTGTAGACTTTGGTAAGAGTGGTGTTATCCCAATAATAATTATTAAATGATTACATTTTAATCCGTGATAGTACTATCTAGAATCGTGATAAGACCATAATCTTATGTTTATTATTCAATATTTATTATTCTCATTTCTCGTTTATTTTAATTTTTACTATTAAATTAAATTCGTATTAAATTAATACAATAGCATTCTGGTAAATTTGTTTGTATAAACGCATTAAACATGCCTTTAATATTGATGGTCGGATTACCTTGTAGTGGTAAGACCACTAGGGCCGGCGAGATTCAAAAATATTTTACTGAAAAGTTGAACAAGGATGTTATTTTGATATCGGATAATGAAATTATTTCACACATGGATGTTGACAAAAATATTTTATTTTTAGGTAAAAATTTGATATTTCCAAACATTCTTTACTAATTTATCCAAAAGTATATTCATGTACCTACCTAGGTAAACAATTAAACAATGTTCCTAATATTAGTAATAATTCGGATGGCAATATTCTCTTAAAAGTTATAATAAGATACTCCACTCAACAACGGAAACCGGTGTCGGTTTTCGTACATATTATTATTATTATTCTTACTGTATATATTTTTAGTAACTATTTTGGCAATAGTATTAGAAACTTACAATATTTACGTGCATTGTTTTTTAAAATTCCTTATAGTTTCCATCAAACTTTTTCTTTTGAATCTTTTTTACATATAAGCTACTATAATATCCTTTTAATTTGTATATTTCCAGTTATTTTTTTTAATGATTTAATTGCTCTGGCTTGAGATCTATCCTTTCTTAAAAAATATTATGTTTTATAAATTTGCATTTATTCTGTGTGAAGCCACATACTGTAAAGCTATAATACAATAAATATAATATGATATGTTTTATATGAAACACCTACAATTTTAATTAAACCGATTGCTTGCTGCAGACATGAAAAAAGAAAAACAGCTACGCTCAATATTACATTCTGAAGCTCTTAAGTAAGTTAGTTTTCTAAAATGATTATTGTAATATTATTTTGATTTATTAACTAATGTATAATTTTTCCATTTAGGAAACTTACAAAAGAAAATATTGTAATATTAGATTCCGGAAATTTTATAAAAGGTTTGTTCTTCTTAGTTTATTTGTTACCGCTCAGACAAGGTTTTCAGTAAAGATGCCTACGTATAAAAATGTTTAAAATGTTTTTGTACTTTAATACATATGTTTGTGGCAGCATATTTTTAGTTGACATTGTGATTTCACCAGTGATAAAGTACTAAAATTCACATTTAATTTTAATTTCTTAATTGAAATATGTCTATACAAGTTTATACTTGGTTTGTATTGCTGTTAACAATTATTTTTGGCTTTTCATAACTACTTTCTCATTGGTTAAATCACATGACATAAACTTTTTTATTTTTTAACATAAGGACTAGAAACAAATACCTTTTTTATTCCTAATTTCTTCAATAAGAAATTGTAATTCGATACGCCTCTAGTAAATTTGTGGTATCACGTCTTTGTTACTAATTACTGGTTAATGTAAAACTTTATTAATTAATTAGTTGATATTTTTACAGGATTCAGATATGAATTATATTGCTCATCGAAAAGTCTAAGTACTCCACAATGTTTAGTTGTGTGTGATATTTCTTCAACACGTGCTTGGCAGTTAAATGAGAATAGACCTGAAAATGATCGATATAAACAAGAAACGTTCAATGATCTCGTAATGAGATATGAAGAACCCAATCATTCAAATAGGTAAGCAAGGTTTAACTTGTTTGATAATAATTATTACAATTTATTAGGTACGTAACAAACATGTATAATGTTAGGTTTTTTTTGAACCATCATATTCTAAATTTTATGCTGTATAGCTAATTTAAGTGTTTCGTAATTTGATTTTAGATGGGATTCACCTTTAATAAATTTACAGTTGGACGATACATTGCCTTCAGAAGATATACGGAAAGCTATTTTTGATGTTGCCGCACCTAAACCCAATCAGGCGACTATAAATGTTAGTAAATCCCAAAAATCATAGGAAAGCTACAAATAAACTATTTAGAATTTTGTTTTTAAATGTTACACTTTTAAACATTAAATACAATAATGTTTTTTAGTGTTGGCCAACAATATCGGTAACGACTTATAGTGGTATCGAACCGATTATTGAATCTCATTTTTAAGAATGCACCAGTTTTTATTTTGAATTTTTGATTATCAGTATTGTAAAAATTAAAACAATATATATTTATCTGTTTAATAAAAAATAATGTTGGCCAACACTATTAGTCTTAGTTCTAAGTTTGTAATTTTAATTATTGCTACCTTTTAATTTTTCAACAGACACCTTTAAGTTCGACTTCATACTTGTACGATTTGGATAAAAAAACTCAAGACGTAATTAATGTGAGTTTAACATTTTATCTATTAACAAAATTAGTGCGTGGTTTAAACCAATTTGTTATAATCCAGTGTTAACGCTTATTTATTTGGCTTAGATGCTTTTGATGCCAAGAGTTATTTAACTTGGATTACGCTAAATGTTTAAAAAAACTATCTGGATATTAAATAACAACATTTTTTTTTTCAGTCTATAATAACATTGAAAAAGCAAGGAGAAGAAGGTGAAAACATTGAAATTCCAGATTTCAAAGGGAAATATTTATGTAAGCTCGACAAAAACATATCTCTAATACAGCTCGCCAAGTCCAGAAGACAATTTTTATCGTATGCCAAAAGTCATCCATCATCAACGAACGATCAAGAAAATATCATAAATATGTTTGTACAGTTCCTTAATAAGACAATTACATGTTGATAGCTTATGCCTTTTTTGTATAATATAACAAATTATACAAAGAAAAAACATATTGATGTTAATATATTATTTGTTTATTAAATTTAATGTTTGTATACTAGTTTTAGCCTTGTTATTTTTTATTGATCCTTAAAAAGCCAAAAGTTGGGTTATGTTGTCTCTAATTAGGTAGTTATGAATGACAATACATTTAAATAGCTTTAATTATATTTTTTAATTGTTGGTAATTTAAAATGTCATTTAAGTCATACCTTAGTAGTAACAAAATCATGTATTTTATACCTTCTATCGTCTCTACGTACATCTAATTGTAATTAGGGTCATAGTGTAAATATTATGAATTATTCAATGTATCATACATATACGTGTAAAATGGTGTTTAAGCATCTAATTAATGACATATATTTAATATTTTATAGATGTCTGTGTGTTTACTGAGTTGTGGCTTAAGATTTTGAATAAGAAATTATGTATAGCACGGCAAACTTACAATAATTGAAAGTTAAGTAATTTGATTTCATTTGATTAGTTAACAAAAAATATAAATTAATTAGTACGATACCAGTTAAAAGACGCTTTGTTAACAATGTACCGTTACATTTTTCCACGGTGTTTATCGTACAGACCGTAAAAGTACCTACCGATTTTTAAAGGTCTAGGTTATAACATTGTCTAAATGATAACTTTTGGAAGATGAACTCTGTTGACCTTTTGTACAGTGGCAGGACTAGACAATTTTCACCGGTGTGGCAGATTACAATATTATCCTATTTGGGGGCATCTTTATTGGATTTTTTTTTTATATAATCCTTCAAGTATTTTTAATTAAATATTAGTTCTTGTCTAAAATTACAGAATATAGAGCATTGCTGGGGTACAACCAATTTAAACAATGGGCGCTGTGTGGACTACTGTGTAGTGGCTATTAAGTAGTGTAGTATAATATTGTTATAGTTTAACTATATTATATATGTTTAACTGTTAAACATACATTTAAATTAAATGTTTAGGGCCAAGCCATAGTACCTAGTCATACCGCTATGAGCGCTGTTTATGTTAGTTTGAAGAAAGGGCTCTGGATTTGCTCGATTGTTATCTTTTTGCTGTATGGATAATTTTTATTTTATTTTTTCAATTAGTCAATTTGTGATATCCGTTACAACCTGTTGTTACGTTGCCGGTGCTTGTGGGATTGAGAACTATTATAGTTAATAATTGGTAAGTTTTATTTAACTAGTCAATTGTTGAAAATAGTTTGCTTCAAACTAGTAAATTATAATAATTTTATATTTATTTATTTTTAAAAATATACTATTATATGTGATATTACAATTTTTTTTTATAAATAACTAACTAATTTAGGTATTTTGATATTTACAGAAATTATTTTTATACATATTTAGAGTTCTATTTAATCCTGAGAAAATGATGCGAACAAACATACTACAGGTATTTTATTTTATTTTTAACATTTGAATTATTCATTCGTCAATTGAATACTACCTAGATATGTGTTTTATCGTAGAGAATTTATTCCAAACATTTTTACATTTGGCATAAATTAATTAAAATAATAATATTATTTTTTACATCACTATTCATACCTAGTAAGATCATAGATGATCTATAGCCATTAGTGAAGATGTGTAATAATAAAATAGCCACTATTTTGAATAAACTGCCATTTATTTTAATGTAACTCATAAAAAAAAAAAAATTGAATATAAACTGTAAAACTTAATGAGTTGGGAACAGTAATTTTTTTTTTTAAATCTTTTAAGATTTCTTTTTTACCTGATTTATTTGTTTTTCATACAATACAGGTATAAACTACCTATATAAAAATATTATTATAAATTACAACAGAAAGGTAGATTCTATTAGTACACGTAAGCAGTATAATTACAATAATATGAAAATGATCAAAATTCTAAAATCTAATCGAAGAGCTTAGAACAGTAGGATCAGATAAATCCAATTTTTGAAATTTTTCAGAATGATAAAAATCAAATTCTTTTTCCAATATTTTATTACTGGTCGGAAAATAATAAGTTTTTGTAATCATCGCTGGTTTACAATATTACACATCTGTGGACAACAACTTAATACTCAGTAAACAAGTTTCTAATTGGCAAACTCGTAGGGTACCAATAATTATTGTACTAAAATATGAAAATTGTTAGATTGTTGGTAACCGAAAAAATGTGTGTATTTAAAACTAGTAAATTACCAAGTTAGAAAAGAAAAAAATGTAAACAACTTTAAACAAATACGTATTATGTTTATTTATGATTGGGTTTGTCAAATGTGATGTTTTTTTATTATAGCCATTGTTGTGTTAATTACGTACACACTATTATTTAATTCAAGGGTCCTCTTGTAATGCAAACTAATCAATGATTATTATGTACATAATTAAAAACACTATGACTACGATTGATGTTTACTATTAGAGAAGGTATAATTACACTTTTAAGTTGTATGCAGTTTCATTGCAAACTGTTATAAGTATAAAAACGTAATCATTAAACTAAAATTAATAAATTAAATGATCAAATACATTTTTTATTATTACTTATTTTGTTATACCTAACACAAAATAAAAAATCAGGATCATTGACACTTTTTGGATTAACTTTGATTTTACATCTTATGTAAATTTACTGTTAGAAACTTGCCGAACTACTAATCTACCAAATCCTTCTTTCTTAAGAAGAGACTCAAGGTTCACACATTATCAAATTTCTATTAAAATACTAAAATCACTTAAGTATAGCCTCTCCACGGGGTTCACCTGTTCTTAGATTTAAAGAATTTTGTTCAATTTGAATATGCATTTACAACTATTTAAATGTGCTGTAGTAATATTGATCAATTGTTAGGAAAACTTATCATTGTTGAATATTATCTTTTTATTGACGTATATATATATATTTACACAAATAAAAAATGGTACCTTTATCCAAGACCAAAGTGCACTCATGATAATGAACTACATTTATCAATAAAATAAAAACAAAAATATTAAAACTGTTACGCTATGTTTGTTTTATGTTTTAGAAAAATGTACTTCGGAAAGCTGTTCGATTCAGTAGTACCATTTACAATGTGCCAATGTATATAGATGGCAAATTTGTAGACTCAAAAACAAATGACTGGATTGATGTCCACAATCCTGCTACTAACGAAGTACAATACTTACATTAACATATTAATATGTTAATTTATTATCACTCATCGTTTACTGCACTAAAAAAATATGAACGTATTTAATGTTATTTTTATACATAAATATAGATAGTTTCAAGAGTACCTAAATGTACTCAAGATGAAATGGAACACGCAGTGGAGTCATCTAAAGCAGCTTTCAAGTTATGGTCAAAAACTTCAGTGATGAGAAGGCAACAAATTATGTTTCGTTATCAGGAAATTATCAAAACTAATATGGTTAGTTGTTTGAACAGTTGTATTTGTAATTGTATTTTTATCTAATAATTGTGATTTTAGAAAAATTTAGCAGAAAACATCACCAAAGAACAAGGGAAAACGTTAATTGATGCCGAGGGTGATGTTACACGTGGACTTCGTAAGAATTTCAATTATTAATTTTTAACACATGATATTAATACATTTTTTTTAAATTTTCTGTAGAGGTCGTTGAAAACTGTTGTAACTTCACTAGTTCCATCATGGGTGAATCTCTCCCTCTAGTGGCTACCGACATGGACATACATTCGTATCGCGAACCACTCGGAGTTACAGCTGGTATTGCGCCGTTTAATTTTCCTGCCATGATACCTCTATGGATGTTCCCCGTTTCTATATCTTGTGGAAACACTTTTGTTATTAAAGTAAAAATATCGTTATTATATTTTGTTTTGAAATGTTTAATATATTTTGTAATTATTGTCTTTATCCCTTTAGCCATCCGAAAGAGTTCCTGGAAATTGCATGATGCTCGTCGAAATGTTAACCGAAGCGGGCTGCCCACCCGGCGTGGTAAACGTTATTCACGGCAGTGTCGACACAGTCAATTTCATTTGCGATGCTCCAGCTATTAAAGCAATTTCATTTGTCGGAGCCAATCCTGCTGTAATTATTGATCATCTTAAATATTAATACATTGAACGTCGTAATGTTTTAACTTCACAAGTTACATAAAACTTGTTGCAATCAATTGTACGTAGGGCGAACATATATTCAGCCGTGGTTCGAAGAATGGCAAACGAGTACAGAGCAACATGGGTGCAAAAAATCACGGTGTCATTATGTCCGACGCAAACAAAACTAGTATGCTCAATTCCTTGGTCGGTGCTGCTTTCGGAGCAGCCGGACAAAGGTGCATGGCATTAAGCACTGCAGTATTTGTGGGTGAAGCTAAAAATTGGCTTCCAGAATTAAAGGAACGGGCTGAAGCTCTAAAAGTCAATGCTGGTATGTCGTAAATAATACGTTAAGACAATTACAGAATAATGTATTACACATTTTTAATTGTGCAGGTCATGTTCCTAATACTGATATTGGCCCTGTCATATCGCCTGCAGCCAAAAAGAAAATCCATGACCTCATCCAATCTGGTGTCGACGAAGGAGCGAAATTACTTTTGGACGGTAGAAACGTTAGTGTTCCGGGTTACGAAAATGGAAACTTTGTTGGCCCAACGATTCTCACCAATGTCAAGGTATTGATTGCATTTTGCGTTACTGTTATTGTAGTTGAAATTAATAATGATTATTTTTGCTAAAGCCCCATATGAAATGTTATACGGAAGAAATTTTCGGACCAGTATTGGTGTGCTTAACTGCCGATACTCTGGATGAAGCTTTAGACATAATTAACTCGAATCCATATGGTAATGGAACAGCTATTTTCACCACCAACGGGGCGACAGCAAGAAAGTTCACCCATGAAGTGCAATGTGGAAACGTAAGATACATTTTGTAGTACTTTAAGTGTACAATAGTTAAAAAATAATACAAATTTTATTGAATTTTCAGGTTGGGGTCAATGTTCCAATTCCAGTGCCGCTACCAATGTTTTCATTTACCGGAACGAGAGCCTCATTTTTAGGACAAAATCATTTTTACGGAAAACAGGTTAATTTTTGTGAAAAACGTTTGAAAATTGTTTATTGTTGTTTTTTATTCTTTTTTAGGGCTATCATTTCTTTACGGAATTAAAGACTGTTACACAGCTTTGGAAAGAATCAGACGCTACCGATACTAAAGCGGCTGTTTCAATGCCTGTGATGAACTAGACAAATTAGCAAATGTTGTTTCTTGTTTTCAAAAATGTATCTTTATACTTATGCACCATGAATATGTTCACCTAATATTCTAATTGCATTTTTGATTTTGTTGTTTTAATTTAATATTACATAGTTATAATTTTTGTTTAAATATCCGAATTTTGTTTTTTTTTTTATATTGTTTAACGAATAGCCGTTTATAAAAGATTGGGTTAACATTAAAGAATAGTTTAGACTATAACTTTAATAATAAACCATACTTAATTTTGAAAATAAACTGTTGATCAAGTAAAAGTAATTTTCAAAGTTGACTAGACAGGCAATTTTAAATTTGATTAAAAAACAATAATTGGGAAGCTGCTAAAAGCAGAATTTTATTTCTACTCAGCATGTAATAGGTGCTCTCTGTTACACATTTTTGTCAAATTTAGCTGTTTACTATTTAATAACTATTTATAATGATATTTTTCATCAAAGTTGAAGATTTGTTTAACAGTATTTATTATCTACATCTCTAAATTATTCATTTACTAATTAGTTTGTCTGTTTGTCCGGGCTAATCTTCGGGCTGAACTGAGTACTATTTTTAAAATTTGTTAATGAATAGTTAATTTAATATGTATATTCTGCTGAAGTAAATATTATTAAAAATTGGAAATAACAAATAATAATTGCTGGTCCGCCATTATGATCTAGGTAAGTATTTCAATGAGGATCCATATGTTAAAACTTAATGATATAAGTACCAGTTTTCTGAATAATTAATTTATAATATAAATTTGAATTCTATTTGGGAGTTACTTTACAGACAGAGCTTCTCTACGAACGGAGCTCTTTGGTGTAAGGCATTTGAGGCCATACTTAAGCTCCAAATATTTTTACTTAAGCTGCTTAAGTAGTAATAGATTATCAAATGGAGGACTTCTATCACGGGGATGTCCAGAAAGTTTCACTGGATTTCCAATTCCAATTGTGTGCTTACTAGGATTCACATACATTTTAGATGTACCCAAAGGTATGTATAATAAACATTTGTGTGGAAATCCGAAATTATGTGTGCGAGTATAAAATAACATAATTTAAATCTGTGATATTGTGCTATCAACTTGACTTACAATATTATTGTTATAATCAGTGATAACAGTTGTAAACATGTGATAAGGTTCTAGTTACCACAAAGATGGCGGAAAATGGTAACTTTAATTATTAGTTCTTTTGGCGGCATGTACCTACCACACTTGGCAATCTAGTTTATTAATTTTTATATATAATGATCAAATTAGGTATATTTCAATAAAAAATACCGTCAAAGTAGATTTTCTTTGCTTTATTGTATAATGTTCCACGTACGTAATTCATATAATAATTATTAATAACAACAGTATAAAATAACAGGGTTTTTTTCGTCGTAACAAGGTTTAAAAAAAAAAAAAATGGAAACAAATCAGTCGTGCACGTCGCCGTCAACAGCGAAGCGGCTTGACGATTCCAACAATAACCATTTTGTTTCGGTAAGTTAAAAAACGAATAACAAAAAATACATTAATGATTAAAATTAGAAGGAAAACAAATTTAAGACCTCAGTGGCGCCTAGGGTTTATTTTTCATTAAACAATTTCCCTCTAATAATACACATCTTATCAACGTTTCTACAACAAATGTTGAGTTTTTAAACTACAATTACATACACATAGATATTATTATCTATCAGTAATCGATTTTTCTACAACGATGCATTTTGTGTAGTTTAAATTTCAACGTTTATTTCTACTTCGGGCGTGCCACAATAGAAATGTAGGTATTCGATTTACAAGCCTTTTATTTTTCTCTTTTTAAACTAATCATTATAGATAGTCATAATACTGTTTGTACTAGCCCATAGACAATATGATTTTATATTTTATAGAATAGAAAAGTGACGATACAAAATATAATATTACCTCGCCAAATTTCTTAAAAAAAAAAACTATTCATTGCAAATAATTAATTATCTGTAAGGGCGCCACTGAATTTCTAATTGATTTTGCTCTGTTCATGTAAATATTTTGTCAGTAGATAACAATTAATATACGGTTACATAGTAAATAATTGAAAAATAAGTGAAAGCACAATTTTATAGTAGGTATACAAGGCGAGGTTTGCCACCCGCAACAGCTTCTAATCAATTATTATTTATAATAATATTTATCATTTCATAAAGTGAACGAAAAAAAAACCAACAAGTATTTCCGTGAATAACTTACATATTAAAAACTTATAACAATACAATATAGTAAATCAAGGGAAAATGGGTTATTCACTAAATCTATTATAATAATATAATAAACAAGTACAAAATTAACGTCCTAATTAATCAACGTCTATTGTTCTAGGCATATAATGTATATTTACTTTTGGTTTAGAAAGTCTAGAATGCAAAAAAAAAAAAAACTTAACGACAAAATAATACAAATTGTTATTATTAGTAAAATATCAATAATAAAATTACATATTATTTTAAAGAGCGTTTGGGTAGGCACACAACTCTATATTATATTTTCTATTACAACATCTAAGAATATAATAATAATAATAATTTATAAAATAACGGAAAAACCAATTAAGTGAATTTATATTGACCACGCCTTATACCATAGTCAACCCCTGACCCTCCTTAATGTATTGTAGTCAACCCCCTTTTGGAATTTATGTGATTTTCTTAAACCGGAAACTCTTAACGGGTAAAATGCATTTAACAACAACAACAATAACAACAACAACAACGTACGAGCAAAGATAAAAACTATGGGGAATAAAATGTAGAAAATATTACAATATAATATAATATTATTATTATGAAAAAAACCGAATAAACTCTAATATTATTGTAAAACAAACAAAATTACAATAATTTTTCCGGTTGGAATACAAGCGTGTACACTTAACATTATAATATAGCACTTGGTATTGTATTATTATTTTAGAATAAATACATTAATACAAAAAAGAAAAAAAAAACTAGTTCTTTTCGCGATGGCCCCTAAAGAACTATTGGATGAATTTTTTCCCTTTAATATGCGTCTAAAACATTATATTATTATACAAAAAAAGTCTATGAAATCATTACATTCAATTTGTTTAATAAGTAATAACGTAAATCGTATGTATGTATTCGTTTATTACAATATATTTTGTACAATTTGTGATTTTATTAGAGATGTTGTTAGTTAACATAACTATACCAATTTTGTCGATTAACCAAATCGAGTACAAACGTTTTAAATATAGGCTCAACGTCGATAACGTGAAAATTTGCCACCAGGAAGAGTAAGTACGAGTGTATTCATGTGTTTATCACATAAAAATGTGTATTAGATGTTTTTTTATTTTACAAAACGTCATCCGCTCTTCTTTCTGTTTTTATAATAATATATATATTTAGCTATAAAATGGTTTTTTTTTTTTAAACTTAAGATTGGCAGTGTTTTTTTTTGTATTTTTGTTAGTTTGAACGTGACCCAATTTTTATAATAATAAATGACCACAAAATGGAATTTTAAAATCGTTTTTTTAAATTTTTTTACTTGCAAATGTAATGTAATAATAATTTATATATATATATATATATATGTATATGTATATAATATAAAATAAAATAAATGGAAATAGGGACGACGATTTTGAAGAGGTAATTAACGTTTTTTTTTTGTTGTATCTGTTTGGTACATTTTTTGGTAATACTCAAAAGTGGTGTTTGTCCGAATGCACCCATTTAGGTGGTGTCGCTTCGGTTCCTCGAGACGGCAGGCCACAGGTCGTGGTGGCAATCGCACCCGCACCGTCCGCCGGCGGACCCGTCCAAGGTGTGCGACGTCGTTCTGCGTTGTTGCGGCTGCAGCGACGCGGGCAGGGCGGTGATTTTCATCGGCGACTTGGGCTTGTCGCCACAGCTGTCGCTGAAATCCGTCCAGTAGTAGCGGCCGCGGCCACAGTGTTGTTGCTGCGGCTGCGGCGGCGGCGACGTGAACGCCGCGTTCATACTGCGGGCTCTTCGACGACGGCCAGCGACGGGCTCTTCTGCGGCCACGACAACGGAACACGTCGACATTATCACTTGGACGGGCGTTTTTTTGAACCTTCAAACACACACAAAGACAAAATGGTTTATCATTTAAGTATTTCGAATACTTCAATTAAAGATTAAAAAAAAAAACACTGTACAATGGACACATTTTTGGTTTTTGGAAAAATAAAACCAAAAAATATAATGATTTTTTTTTTAATCCGTATCGGGCCTCAAAAAGTTCCTCTATCACTTGCCAAGTCTGTTTACATTTTAATTACTTGTGTGTTTAAAACACCGGTTTTCTGTATGATCATTAAATTTTCTAAAATTTATCTCTAATAGTTTTTTTTTCTGTTCAATTTTAATTTCCCAACTCAGAACTGGTCTTATAATTATTAATGTAGATAGTTTTTACGATTCAAAAGAACATACTGATTTTAATCTAACTTCACATAGGACCTATTTTAAAAAGACACAAATACACATTGAAATTAGACCGAGCGGCGGCGGTGGTGCGTGTAAAGTTCAAGCTCACGCTAGTATTATTTATAGAAACGTCGGTGGCAATACTAGTTAAAAAAAAAATACATACATATAAATACAGGGTGTCCCACAAGGACTTGTGACAAATGAAATAACTTTCGTTCTAGTGAATATTTTTAAGAATTTTTTTTTTAAAATTAATACTCATTTGGGCAATAAACACCACGGTTTGTATCGTTCTTAAGGGTTTTAAATAATTCTTAAATTTTTTAAAAATATTCACTAGAACAAAAGTTACTTGATTTGTCAAATGTTTGTGGGACACCCTGTACATGTGATTTATAATCGTATGTTTCCTATGACGTCTGTGTGGCGAACGTAGGCGATAGATATGTGTACATATATATAATATATATATATATAAATATTAAGCGTTTGAGTTCATGCTGGAGCCAACCGCGTCCTGGCCGGGAAACAAATAAGCAATCAACACCACCGCAAATCAATTAAATACAAACACAAACACCGCACATCGTATTATAGGTATTATTAAATAATGGTAAACTAAAATCAAATATAAATGGCGACTATAGAAATTAATTAATTATTCGTCTATATATAATACAAACACAAATCAAAAACAAGTATAATATCATTAGTGTAATCATTAGTGTTTGGAGTAATATCAAAATTGGTTTTGTCAATAACAGCTAATGAAAGTACCTTTTAAAATTAAAAAACTGTCTACAATACTGGGTGGTCGACACATTAGGTACGTCGTTTTTGTCAACGTGGAGACTTGTGTATCTTCGAAATTAACGATTTTCTGGAAAAAACAAAGTAGGATTTTTATGTCTACGGTTTGAGCGCACACTGCCACTCTTTTTCCCATAGGGTGTCATGATAATCATGACCTATAAGGACTATGGACATTGTTATTAGAGTGATAGCGAGATATATCGGAGATAGACGTATTCAGCACAGACTATATGAAAACTGAGATAGCTCAGGCCTCAGCCGAATACAATTGACATTTTTAAAAAGACTCCCTAATCGGTCGCGAGAAGATAAATGTATGAATGATTGTACAAACTCCTTATCGATCATAAGATTTAAACGATAGCCGACTATGTTGTTATGAAATTTTATGCTTGAAACTGTGGTCACATTGATTTCGCGACCTATATGTTTTCATGTAGTCTGTGTATTGAGCAAGAGAGAACGATAGCAGGTGATAGTTGCATGGAAAAATTAAGCTTTTGTGTGAAATAAGTGAAAACAGTGCTTGATTGCCAATACTGACATGGTGATAAAAAATCGTGCTATTTGTTTATTACTAATCGTAAAATACCATATCGTCGCTTAAGATGCAACACCTCATATCTCTTTTTTTTGGCCATATCAAGTTGGTTGTTGACTGGTAATTGAAACTGATATTTTTGTTCTCCTGTAAAGTTGTGGAAAATGAAATATGAGGTGTTGCATCTTAAGCGACGGTATTAACCATAAACTAACTCAAGTTAGTATGTTTCTCTCACTCAAAGTCGTTTCAGAATATGTTCTAATAGAAGGAATGTGTAAAAAAAATGGACAGTTTAAGTTTGTTCTATACTTAAAAGATACTCACTGTGGAAGTTTGATTTGAAGTTTCCCCGAAACTACGGTTGCCTCCTCGAATGCAGCCGAAACAGCGTAGGTTTCCAGCCCAACGGATAAGTCAACTTTAGGTACACTGCACTTGACTGGTCTCTCCAGCGAGCAGGTCTTCGGGGCAGCGGTTCGGTGTCTGACGGGTACGATGGGTGCGGCCATAGACCTAAGCGATAAAATATATGTTTGGCTGTTTGATAGACGGCCAAGGCGAAGAGGCGTGGCTGAAGAAAACGGCTTGCAACGACGTGGGGTGGCAGGGAAGGCGGTGGGGGGGGGGGGTGGAATATAACCTACGCCCTCGAAAGCTTTTTTCTCAGTCTACAGGAAACCACGGTACGAGTAACATCGAACCACAGCTCTGAAGATGGAATGTGCAAGTATAATAATTAGACCAGGTAATCTATCCAAGAGGAAGTAATCGCAAAATGTGTAAAAACTCGGTGTTAATCAAAAGGAATGGAGAAGAAGTAAATGTATTCAAATCAACACCCACAAAATAATATCGACCACAGTTAATTTTTTCCAAACGTTTATTCTTGAGCCATGATTAGATTATATACACTTTTTTTAAAGAGAAATATTAGGAAAGAAGGATAGCCAATATTATTTGTTCTTTTAGGTTCAAAGTAAATCAAATTTATCTTTATAAAATTATACCGCCATTGTAATAAGTGAAAACTTGACTTTTCAAACTAAATTTCAAATTAAGTTCTAACATTGAGGACTGTGAATTACACAAACCTTTCTTGTGGAAGAGTTGTCGGTACGATGGGTAGTTCTTCTTCGACCGATTCGGGTTGACCAAACAATTTTTTCTTTTCTTCTTCGGTTCCGATAATGGTCAACGTGGATTCGGAATCAGGTGATGTATCGTTGGATTTCACCAGATCCACCGACCTTAAAAAGAGTATACTCAATTATATCTACAATACAAATGCCATACGTCAATTAAATTATTATCAGTGGGAGTGGCAGACATTGTGAAAGGAGCAGGAAGACGAATAAAATGGGTAATGTCGATTGACTTGGTTAATTAATTAATCTTGATAAAAATCTAGGTTTTTCGCTGAAATTAATACTAGAGATTAGTTAGGATCGATGACGATATAGATAAGGAAATGTTTCTTTTTGCGATTTGGACTAGTCAAATAAATGATACGTTTGGACAAACATTTGCAATGTAATTGGTGGGTTTGGAAGCAAACATTACCTGTTTGGTAGGCATGACAGCGGTGACAAAGGTTTCGGGTTTAACGTCATTTCTTTGGAGTAGTCGCCTACTTGGATATCGACAGGACAACTGACGACGGTAGCAAATTCTCTTTGAAGAATTTTCCCTGAGGCAGTGGGCGAGTTTTGAGTACTCTGCTTATCCGTTTCCTCTTGGTTGGGATTGTACGACACGTGAACGACCGCTTTAGTGACGTTTGATTCCGAATCGCTCAGCTCGTCAGGACTGTCGTTGGGCGAATGTAAAGGAATGATGACGGAGTCGTTTTCCGTCTAATGAATTTACACTATGTCTTGTCAGTCGAAAACGGGCATAAGCTACTAGTTGTACTTACCACTTCCTGTCTGAATTTGAACTCGACGTTTGTAAACTTCGGATCGATGTCCGCGAAATCCGACGTGCTCTTGTGCTTCGGGGACTTTCTGTTTAATCCCCTAAAACTGCTGGCCCGTTGCAGTAGCGATCCGAACAACGAACGGCTGGAGCCCCTCCGTTCTTTGGCGGATTTTTCCACGGTACCTAAAATACGGGAACCGTTTAGAACGCCACCGGACGCGGCCACGACGAATACACACACAGACAGTTAATAGTTAAATAGTAAATAACACACGGAAAAAAACCGACTGGGATGACGGACGAGTAGACCTCTGTACGTCTTCAACGAACAGCGTTCTTCTTCGGTGGATCCTCTAGCGTTTCGACACCCCAGGAGGACTTACATCCGATACATAATTACAATATTATACAACAAAATATACATGTTATTCTATCGTATAGTCATCATTTAAAGCTTGTCTAAGGCTCAATGGACAGCCTTTATAGTTTACGTATGTATAATGATTAATTATTTACAGGTACCACTATTCCTTGACAAATTTTTTGTGTACATAAAAAATAAAAATACTATCTTAAATCTCACATCTCTATTTAGTCTTCCTACAATGGGCTATCTTACAAGACGTGAAATAATTTGCGATATTCGAGAAATTTATACATCTTTTTTAAAATTACTATAATTGTTACAATGTATTGTTTGTTATTTTTTAAATTTATTGTTTTCATAGAAAATATATGAAGGAGAATTTGGGCTTTGAAAAAAATACATATTCATTTTTTTCGTAATGTTAACAAAAAATGATTTTAAGAAATATAGTCAATGCTTAAAATACTTTTTTACATGAGTAATTCCACTTATAGAAGTAAGATTGTTTTTATTGACAGATTTAAAAATTTATTTAGCAATATGCTAGCTACATAGGTACTACGAAAATTGATAGACTGAAAATTTACTATGGCGAATATCTTCCAGGTAAATGGTTATGTGACCAAATCGGTTGCTTTATTAACAAGTGTTATAGCTACATTTACGATATCACGGTTAGCTTTTGAAAAAAATATATATATTAATTTGTTACTCGCTCACTAAAAATTGCGGTTAAGAAAGCACTGGGTTATTATAATATGGTTGGTTAGGTCATGTACAGGTAAAAACAAGTAAAAGATGCCAAACAAAAACCGATTTTTGGGTATTTTTTTTTATTGGTTACCGGTTTTTGGTCTGGCCTCCCTGGAAGACTCGGATCGCCTCCTGAGGTACTGATCTTGCGGTGACGATGCGGCGGTAACCGTTGTTTCGGTCGGGTTCGGGTCGTCTACGCTTTTTAGCGGTACGATTTTCACTAGATTTGGATCAAATTTGGGTCTGGCATCTCCGTTTTTGGTGGACACTACCGAGTTGTAGGCCAGGGCGTCGTGGACTTGCACGTTTACCGGCTGGGGGCTTCTGGGCGGCGGCGGAGGATCGCATATTTTCCTACCAGTCAGGTCGTCGTCGGGTTCGTTGATGAACTTCTGGAACTCGTCGAGAATCCCGGGGCTGACGGACCTGCTGCGCGGTTGATCTTGATCTTGGTCGTGTTTCCTCGGCGGCGGTGGCGGTAGTAAATTGTCGTTGCCTTCTGGTTCGACGATGAACTTTTGGAATTCTTCGTAGATGCTCGGCGAGATTGACCGGATGTTGACGCCGGAAGCCGACAGCGACGGACTTCCTTCAATAGGGATCTTGTAGGCCGACTGGGGTAACACGTTGTGGATAACGCCTTTTTCTTCGTCGTCCGGCTGCACCATGAACTTTTGGAATTCCTCGTGGATGGACGGAGACAACGACCGGCCGATATTCGCACTGTCTGTGGCAGCAATCCCCGAGCCTACTACTGATTGGACCTCACGGCTTGTGATGGATATGGCAGACGAACGGTTTTTGTTTTCGAGCCGGGTTACGTTGACGTCGCCGTCTTCTGGTTCCGCTATGAACTTTTGAAATTCTTCGAATATCGACGGCGATATGGACCTGGAAGAACAGTCTTGGTCTATTGATTTTCTTTTTGTCATTTCGATGCTCAGTTGTTTTCGCAATTTCACGGGATTGACCGGTACGCCGTCGGCTTCATCGTCGGCACAGGCTATAAACTTTTGGAACTCTTCCCTGATTCCCGGTGATCCTGATCTCACAGGTCTCCTTATCCGTCTGGACGACTCGATAGTAGCCGGGTCTCTGTTGATGAACTTCAACAGTGTCGGGTTTGTAAACGGTTTCAAGCGTTTCGGGCTTGTAGGATTTGCTGCTTCGTTCGGATCACCTTTTAGTGGAATGTAAATTTGATTCTCTCCGCTTATTTTCTTCGCTTGCGTCTTCGGCTGCTCGTACGATATGGCAACCGGATTTTGTTTGGGCGCATTGCCCTGAATGATTTCTACATCGTCGTCGTCGAGACTTTCTAGAGGTACGAATTTCTGAGTTTTAGGGTTGTCTAAAACCACTTTTACTTTCGACGAAGGTTTTGTCTTTGATTTCTTTTCTTTTGGTAATTCTTCCATGACGCGTTTTTCTTTTGGCTTCGACGTTTTCTTTACTTTGGCTTTGACTTGTTCGCTTTTAATTTCTCTTTTAACCGACTCCAAATGCACCTTCTTGGGCCTAGGCTCCGTTTGGGTTTCCGTGTCTGCTAGTTTGGGCTTAACCGTTGGCTCGCTAAGGTCTTCTTCGTCGTCGTTGAAAAGTAGCTGACGGTTGGAGAAGTGTTCAGGTGATTTTGGTCCGCAGAATGATGTCTCCAAGAGAACTCTGTGTGGCGAGGAACCCCTGGAAGTTCTGGAATAATTCGATGCGGCGGATAATCGAGATGCTGCTGATGCTATGGAAGCAGTAGAGTGTATAGAGCCTACAGAAGACACACGGCTGCTACGACCACTTATGCACAAAAAACCGGATTCGCTAGCTGTATCCCTTCGGTCGGCCGCGAAATCCGTATCCATAGTAGCATCAGAGACCTAAATAAAAAATTTAAATACATTTTAATACATCGAAATAAAAATATAATATTTTATTAGACTGATAACGAGATAAAAGTTTTTCCGATAACAATGTAATAAATGGTGGTATGAAAATAATTTTAATCGAAAAATAAATACCCGACACAAGTGAATCCAATTCGTGTGAACTGTATAATTACAACTGTTAGCTGCATATTAAGAGGTCGTCTTATCGATGATTTTCAATGGTAAAAACATGTTTACGTAAAACAGATAAAAGTACAGCGTAAGTGATTTTAGAGTAAAACACTTCTGGTAAAAAAGATAGAGGGCATCGTGCCGGAAATCTTTTCCGAGGAACCACGTTAGCGTTTTTCAAAATACCAAAGAGAAAAAGTTGTACTTAGTTGTAGATAATCCAAACACATACGACATACTTAGTACTTTTAGAAAATCTTGCCCTGTGTCTTTATTATTATAGGTGCTTTATCTATAAAATCACTTTGAAGGGGACCTTTTTTTGTTTAAATTCATTTTTTTTTAATTAACTGTCAAAGATGCTGTGATAGTCCAAAAAATAAACTACCAAAAAAAGAGTCCTAATCACTGAATTAATAGTTACACATCACAATCTTAAATTAAAATTTGACCTAAAAAATTCTCTATCTAACTCCTTAATAAATACGGGGTTTGACGTCCTCTTAAATGTGAAAGAATTAACTAATTGAAACAGTCAATGTCGTTTCTTGGGCCGTGACTATATCCATTTGTGTTATTGGATAATAACATGACAAATATTTTAAAGATAAAAAAAAAAAAAATTATTAATACAATTGCAACGAAGCGTTTTCAAAAGTTCAGGTTTATTTTATGATTCGTGTGTAGTAGATAAACTGTACCGCGTATTGAGGCTGCAATTTTGATCGCCGCCTCCTTATTTCAGATTCAGTTAAGTCGTGGAAATTTAATTCTTCGGTACTGCTGTGAAGGTCAGGTATTATTTCTTCGGTGTAACCGAAGCCGGATCTCACTGATTCGACTGATTTTCCGTCGGCGTCTAAAAACAAAAAAACATATCATACCCGGTTAAAATGAAAATAAAGAAAAAAGATGCATCTTAAAGTCGGTTTAAATTTGCGAATAATTTGTTTACACGTATGACTTCAGTTGTAATATACTTTGCTTAATTTCAATTTAAAGCCACTGCAAATGGAATTTGTTTAAATATATATTTAACACTTTGTTATTTTTGTTTTTTAACATATTGAACCAGAATAAAACCGTAGTTAAATGCGAGCAATTTTTAAAGCATATTTCGGTTTAATTGGATGCTTCAAGATTGCCAAGTCCACGCGCGGTAGCATAAACATTTAGAGCTGACTGCTAAACGAGTCTGTTAAATGTCTGAAAATCTGCCTCGTTCTGTAAACGTTTGAGCTTTATTATTTTTAACTCTAGCCTACTAAACCGTTTTAATTACAGAGAAGGTCGATGTTTTGCTTTTGATTCGAACGAATAACTTTGAGCTGTGTTTTGGCATTAAATCAATGAGGTAAGATTTCATTTTTAATACCCTAACTGCCTACACCGCACCACAGACGAACACTATCTAAATTTGCTCTAAACCATACTTAACTGGCTCGACAATGGCCACACGTCATGCACAAAAAATTAAAAATTGAAATGAGTTATTGCGTAGTCAGGTTGGTGGGATTTATAAGGATTTTACAAAAAGCATTTGACCGTGTAAATCACTCTTTACTGATTAAAATGTTCATTTCTGTCGGATTTGGTGATCCTCTGATATCCTGATTCAATTCCTATCTAACTGACAACAAACAATAGGTTACAATAAATGGGTTCCTTCACTCCACCATCTGGGGTTCTACAAAGTGCTGTTTGTCAACTCCACTTCCTCCGTTCTTCGCCACGCCAAACTGTTAATGTTTGTAGATGATGTGAAGATCTTTCTTCGCATTAACTCCATCAGCGATTCTTTCTCACTACACAATGATCTAAATCGTCTGATTAGTTGAGATGAAAGTTTTGGACTTAATCTCAGTATTCCTAAATGTCAAGTTATGTCTTTTTCTCGTAAGCAATTAATTACTTCCCTTGCGTATCACATAAAAAACCTTCTGCTTATTTCGATTAAATACACTGATTATTGAGATATTTTACAATTTTTTAAAAGTCCTTGGTTTCATTCACCGTATTTCACGCGAGTTCCATTTATCTGCTCCTCTCAAATTCTTATCTTCTCTGGTTCAACCTATTTAAGAATATGGCTCAGTTCTCTAGAACCTTTCTACTGCAGCTGCTAGTATAATGTTTGAACAGATACAAAGAAAATGTGCTCGGTCCATTGCTTTTAAAAATACTATCTCTCATTTCCTCGTGACTAGACCCCGGCAAATATTTCTTTTACTTCTAATCTCCTTAATAACAAATTAGATTGCCCCATTCTTTTGTCTCTAATTATCTTTCACGTTCACATACTCCTTTTCTAATCCCGTTTTCTTCTTGTAACTATGACGCTAATGCTTATCTGTCTTGTCTCATGCGTTTTGCAAACGAAGGTCCCACCTTTCTCTTGACCCAATAGTCAGATTCACTTTAGTATCTTTCTCTTTATCTCTTATATACATAATAACGTACTCAACTGTATAGGTATACTGTTTTAATATATTGAAATGAATGCGATAAACACTACCTAAATAACAATGTTGCAATCAAAATGTTCTATTATGTACTTTACTGGTCGTACTGGGTTTAGACCTGTTTATATTAAAATAAATTATGTAATACCGATGGCAACCGACAGTACGTACCGACAAACAATTCTCTTTCAGGACTACTGTCGTCGTGGTGCGAAGAACTACTGGCTCGAGAAATATCTATCCTCGGGGTGTTGGGCATTCCCAAACATATTGTCTGTTGTCTCAGCGACTTGGCTGGCGTACTGGGCACCTCTTGGATATCTTCTAAACATTTGCTGATGGTACCTGCGTCTGGACTGTCTAATAATAAATCCTCACTGAGGTCTTCGGATGAGGCCAGCGGAGGCAATTTCCCCACGTGTTCACGTTTGTCCATGTCACACTAACGGCACGGTTGCCTGCAAGAGAAACCAAAGAAATTATTCACCGGTTAACCAGTCAAACATTGCTTGCAAACATCTATCCAGTGATCGGTAACCTTGCCTTTGAGTACAACGCACACGTCCCTGCACTTGAGTGCAATTTAAAATCTACTTGAGACCGAATGTAAAGGTAAAATTCAAACTCCAGTTAAACATGAACTAGCATATTATAAAATAGACAAAGTAGGTATAATTCGAGGCATGTTGTTTATCTATCTATGTATAACTTATCGGCTTATTTTAACCGGAAGTAGCTTTAAAGACCCGCGCAAGTTAGGTCATCTCGGAGGAGGATGGAAGTTTCTCTCTTCAGAGTTTAGACAGTCTAAGTGTCAGCCCAGTGAAAGTGAGCGCCAAGTAGCAACACATTGCCGCCTTACCCACTTGGCCATTCGTCTTTCTATGTTTTGGTAATTGTCAACATGGCAAAACTTAAGCCAAATTAATATTTGTCGTTTGTTACGAAACGCGGATAAACGAAATTGGTAGTTGAAGACAATAACAATATACTCTTGAAAATTATGTTGTTAATATTAAATTAAGCCAAAGTGTTTCCTCAATGCTGTTATGATTTGTAAACGTTTTTCGGTATAAAAAGAAGACTTTGTGTTATTTAACTGAATAATCCAGTAGGCATTTTGGAATGCCAGGAACTTATCTGAATAATTTCACAAAAATCAGATAAATTTTTTTTTTTATTACGTCGACTGAACTCATCAACAGTAATAATTTTATATACGATGCATAATTTTATTATCAGTATTTTTTGTATTCGTGTTGAGAGCAAATAAATTGTGAAAAACAAACAATTTTTATCACAGGTTTTAATATATCATAAAATGTTGTATAATTAATTAAATTACACCGGTGGTTCTCATGGGATTTCATTGGGCCATATAAATTATAATATACCAGCCGTCCGGTTAATACAGGGTGACCCAACTGCATCAGAAGACAATCGGAAATATGAATATTTTGAAAATGAGTGTCTTGCAACGGATGGATCACCCTGTATAGCAACACGATGCGAGATATTTGGTTCGTAAAATTAAAATTCCCACCGTATTTTGCTTATCCGGATATTTTGTCAAGTAATACCGGCTATGTCCTGGTGAATAATAAATTACACTATTGTATACCCTTTAAATCATTCTGTCGGTGACACGCACGACCGGATTCAAAGTGTCACAGTAAACGTTATTCAAGCAAACTTTTAATGACGCGAATTCAAAGACCGGCTGAGACGTTTTTGTCGCTATTTAAGACGTTTACTCCACCACCGTCAGTCGATTTTCGACCTTAGATTTTTGACATTGTTTGCACTTACCGGCGTTGTAGCTATTATAGAAATATTGTCATTCACTGTCGGTCAACCATTAGTCCAAATGATATATAAGATAATACTGTTCAATAGCATCGTTACAACTTTTACCATTATGACTGTTTTATTACAATAATATGAGGCGTCCGGTTTCAAAATCAGCTAATAAAAGCAGTTTTTGAAAATAGTTTTCACAAACAACAAATAGTTTCTTCAGACCAAGTTGTTCCCAACACGGTTTGAGTAAGTTATCAAATCTTTATTTCACATCCAATAAAAGTTTTACATACCGTGTAATACAGTGTCGCCACTTAGGGAAAAAAACACGTTTTCAAAATGTCTTTTTTCTTGGTTTTGAAACTAGACGCCTCATTTGATTACGCTTATTGTGTGTATAGAGTCTATCTGATACTTGAAGCACTTGTTTATTGTATGTTACTGACTAAAAAATTTGTGTTTTTACTTTACTGGGTTTTTTTTTGCTCTTGATTCACACATAGATAATATTAATTTTTCATTAAAAAAAAATCTTGAAATAATCAAAATGCTGTCAATTAAAAAAACAGATTCTAAAAGCTGAGATATGACACTACAAAATCACCGCCCTGATAATTCTCGATAAAAATTGATAACTTGCTAAAAAATAACAAATTTGAGATTTTTTTTTTCAAATTGAAAACAAATGTTGACAAGTTTTAAAGTTGGAATTTTATTTAATGAACAATTAAAATTTCAAATGATAATCAAATGTAAAAAAAAAAACATTCACGTGAAATACTTGGAGTTGAGATTAAAGGGCAGTCGTAGGAAAAAAAAAATATAATAAAATATAATGTACATCATTCGAATAAAAAGTTATCTAAATAATCATTTAGGTAACACATTATTCAAGTAAAAGTTATTTGAATAATAAAAAAAAAAAAATTATTCAAATTTCAAACAATTTTGAACGAAAAATTCGAATACTTTTTAAACATATTATTAAAATAGTTTGTATGTTTGTATAAGTATATCTTTTTTAGGAATTTATTTTAAAAACATTATTTCGGTTAAACATAATATTATGTACTACGTTTAAAAAATGTATAAAATCATTATTTATATATTATAAGGAACAATTTTATTTTATTCGAAAAATTTCAAAAATATTATTCCAATAAGAAGTTAGCACAACTCTGTACACGAATACCTATTGTATATAAATAAATGGTTGCTTTAAACAGCAACTATGTGTAGTTAATATAGGCTTTTGAACTGTCGGCCAAAGGGAGCTGTGTTTGTGTGTGCTACTACTATTATTATAGGCATGCGGCGGTGGCATTGGGTTATCGATTCGACGGATACGACGTCAGTAAAAAGGCCCAACAACGACCTACAACTCGGCCACATTTCGCGCACTACGCATACACATGTACTATATATTGTATAAATATATATATAAGTATACCAACACATTTACACACACACACACACACACACACACATACACACACACGGGGTACCTGCAGCTGCTGCTATTGCTGGTGCCCGCTTCTGACATTAATAAACGGATTCGCTTCGTAAGGCCGCCGCCTAAGTTTATAAATAACTTTACGGTTCCTATACGAGCCGACCCGAATAATATGTGTTGTACCAAAGCATTGACAGCGCGAAAAAATATATAACAAACTTATCTTCTATTCTCTGGGCGGACGTTTCAAGTTCGCCGATTCGATTTCGACCTATCCAAAAACCGAGTACAAACGTCGAAAGTCACATTCCCGTATTTTCTTCCTGGCGGTACCCACTTAATACAAACCAAGCTCAAGCACCCTAGGAACGGGTGGCTACAAAAAAAAAAAAACTATCACAGTTTAAACAAAACCAGACGGGGCACTTTGTAGTAAAACAATACATTTTAAAATAACCACTTTTGAATGGCGGAAACTCAATGCAGTGGGGCCAAATTACATGTGCCGAACGTATTGTGCACATAGCAAGTAGTCGATCAACAATGGTTGATGGTGATAACATTACAGATATTTGATAAAATGTTTTTGACCACACTGTATAACAGAAGGATTATTTTTTTTTCATTTTTAGTCACACCGAGCTCAGATTATATTAAAGCCTGTTTATATTTTTCAATTTTGTTTAAGAGTGCACTATTTGGTTTTATTTAATCTGTGATTGTTAGTAGTTGATATGGTTGTTAGTAGTTAATCGAAACAGATGTTCTTTTGGATTGACTTTGTCGCCGTAAAATATGAGTATTGTCGTTGGCCGTTGGGCAACCATATTGTCTTAAATGGTGTTCAGAACTAAGCAATTTGAATTGATTTTTATCTGCGATATATTATAATTTTATTTCCAGAACGTGGTCACACTGAGTCGAGGGGGGTTTTGGTTGTCAGTAAATGACAAAGTGCACTATCTGGTTTTATCTAATCTGTGATATCAGTATGGAAAATAAATAAGGTTGTAGTCCCGCTATAGAATTTTAATTAAAAAATGGAACCCTTGGCCGGTTTCAAGTCGTCACGTCACGAGAGTTAAATTGGAAAAAATTGTCTCTTAGCATATTTTTACTTTTCTAATTTATAAAAACAATACTGTTTGGGTGTAAAGCCCTCTTAGCTTCTATCAGTTACACTGTTAGTCTATGTCTAACTAGACCGATCCTGATACTAAGATAGATGGCACCATTATAAGAATAATTGACCCTATTGTTGTCGCTGAAAAGCCTGTCTTTTAAAACAAGTGCGTTTGACCGGGAAACCTTACAGTTTAATTTATAATTCTACGAGTATTTTTGTTTTTTTTCGCTCTTAAAATATATTTAAGTATATAATATATTTGTTTACTGTCGATACAGTTTAACTTAGAACTCTTGTAGGGGTTTTCTAGACCTTCGTCAATAATCTCATTGTTGAGGAACTGTGCCAAATTCAGTCGATACAATTATTAAGCTTTAGCTGGTTGTATGCACTGTTTAATATTTTACATATTTTGTAGTTGAAATTTCAACATTTACTCTGTTTTATCTCAAATATTATATGCATGAAAGCACAAGTCTTAAAAAGTCAAGTCTGTCTTCGGTTTTCTTTTTTAAAAAGCACACATTATTTGTATATTGACATAGACCAACAGAGAAAATTCCTTTGTTAACTTACAAATTATTTAACAGGGAAATTCCAGAAGCAAACAAGGTCCGGAAAAACGCTGAGTCTCTTTTTGATAAAAAAAAAAAAGGTTGGCTGATTCAAAGAGGCCAGTCGCCCTACTCGTCTCCTTTGAACTGTGGTGTACACTTGACTCTTCCATTGTACTCTGGGAAATATTTGAAAAAAATAAAGTCACATATTATAACACTATATTAAAATCAGGGAGTAGCATAAGTAAAATATTATGAAGTAAGCGAAAAGGCGAGCTACAGAGTGGCCAGAATAACGAAATTACATTTCTCTAATACATGTTTTTAAATTGTTTCACTACTACAACCATGAAATACAAAACATTTGAATCATCATAAAATCACATTTTCATGTTGTCGTATGAAATTAAAATTTATCTATTAATCCTAATATCCTAATATCTAGCCTAATATTTAGTTGATAAGGCCATATGGATGGTACTGTTTAACAAATTATAAAATAAATAATTTATTTTTATTTAA